GCTTCGAATCCCAACTGCCGAACCCTGATACTTCCTGGTCCCTTTTGGTGCATATCAAAGAACCACCACAGAAGTATCATTGTTAGGGTTCCTTCCTTCCTAAGGAGCCGTAGCAGTTCAACAGGCCTTAAATTAGATTTAATGTGTTGTGTAGACATGCTAGGAATCAAGCAAGCCTTGATTGTTCAGTGCCACATTCAGTAACCACCTAGCTGCCTTGTAAGTATTGTTTAACCAAAGTAAGATGGCCTATGCATCTTGCTACAATGGCACATCAGTTCCATCTGTGGGCAGCTGCTGAGTGTACATGCCACTTGGGGGGCAATTCTCTTTCTTGTTTAATTCTGCACTGGATTGCAGCCTAGCTCAAATATATATAGCACATGTAACAAAAGCCTGGAAGAAGTCTACTACTGTGTATTAAACATTGTGGCCAACAATTCTTAAACTGACATGTTTGCATAGGATTGAACTGGTTTGTGTTAAGAATGGTAAGTATTGTTTACATTACTGCTGATACTTTTCCTCTTTCCAAGGGGAGTAAATTATTTGTAACACTGGCTGCATGCATGGCTGCCTCAAGGCATTTTGCTGCCTGAGGTCAAGGTGACAACCCTCCCCATTCCATGTACAGAAGCTGACTGCATGGAGAGCTGAATCTTACTCCAATACTGGTGACAGGCTGGCATGCTGCACTTACTTGGAACATCAGGCTAGTTTAGGGAGCTGGTGTGGCATATTCTTCCGACAGAGAGGAATGGTTGGATACTTCAGATGCCCACAGCCACAGTGAAGCTGCCACTGCTCCTCAGGACCTGTGGCCCAAGTCAATTATCTCACTCTGCCTTTTGTGCCTATAGTAGAAAATATCTCAGTATCTGCATTTTGCAGAGGTAAAGGCAGGTTGGGATGGCCAATCAGGAAAACGGCAGAACCAGGGAAATGGCAGAAAGGAAAAGAATTAAGCAGTCCCTTTCTTTCCACAGTTGTCCACTCAATATTGCAACCTACTGAGCCTGCTGTTGGTTTAAAATTAAACGGGGGAAAGATAAACGCAACTGCTTCCCTAATGCAGTTTCAGCCTCAGAAATCTCCAAAGTGGGTTTTAAATATTTATGAAAATTATGCTTACATTTGGAAAATGCCCTATTGTGCCCCAACGTGATTTTGAATTCATCCTTTACGTAGTGTATCATAATACAGAAACCCAAAGTCGTGTTTCATAAACCAAATGAAAATAAAAACAATTCTTTTTTTATGCTACATTGTCTGATGTTGATTTTAGAGTCCAATCAATTGTTGCGCTGCAATTTGGCGTTTGCTTTTCCATTTTGAAATAACTTTTGTTTAAATATTAAGCAGGTACTTCTGTATGAGCCTAAAAGGTTATTAAATGTGGTCGAGATGTCTGTGCTGTCTCTAGTTTGGCTCTACATTGTCACATTATCTGTGATCTCCTTTTACGATACATTGGTGTTCCAAATGGGGAACATCCAACAAGTCCATTAATAAAACACATTAGTGCCCCAGTGGGGAAAGGATGATGAATTCCTAGTTATTTCTGTGGCTAAGAAAATACATTGTGGCAATAGCCAGAACTTCAAACACACCCGCACTTCTTGGGTGTGAGGTTTTCTATTCATTCAGTGGAATGTTGCTACAGTCCTCGAATCCACATAGAATCTACATGCCTAGGAGGCTTGCCTTCACAAGGGTGTGGGCTGATGGTCATGAGACAATTGTCATGAGAACAAGTACGGAGGGTGAGGCAAGTGACTGTTTCAAATGGAGAGGGAGAGGTTTTTTATTTATTTATGTGCCTTTATTAATGTCGTGCTGTCACACACTGTCATTTAATCATTAATTATGAGTTGTTTTTTAATTGGAATTTGTTGTTTCCTACTTTTGAGTGTTCAAATCACACAGTATCTTGTTACAACTCTTAGAACAACTCTGAAGGGCAGGACCCATTTTAAAGATGTGGAGCTGGGTGTTAGAATAAGAGCTTGCCTTAATAAAGGTAAAGGTAAAGGTACCCCTGCCTGTACGGGCCAGTCTTGACAGACTCTGGGGTTGTGCGCCCATCTCACTCAAGAGGCCGGGGGCCAGCACTGTCCGGAGACACTTCCGGGTCACGTGGCCAGCGTGACAAGCTGCATCTGGCGAGCCAGCGCAGCACATGGAAACGCCGTTTACCTTCCCACCAGTAAGCGGTCCCTATTTATCTACTTGCACCCGGGGGTGCTTTCGAACTGCTAGGTTGGCAGGCGCTGGGACCGAGCAGCGGGAGCGCACCCCGCCGCGGGGATTCGAACCACCGACCTTTAAATTGGCAAGCCCTAGGCGCTGAGGCTTTTACCCACAGCGCCACCCGCGTCCCACCCGCTTGCCTTAATACCACCCAGCAAATTCACTGCTATAATCGGGGGCTTCCTGATTTGTCTCACAGCCCATTCAGCAGCTCTTATTATATTATTTGCCACAAAGAGTTAATTGGCCACAGAAACAACATGATAGCCTGTCTGTGTACAAAGCTTACTGGGTAGCCCAATATTCTTCCATAAGTGGCAACTCCATATCATTTTTTCTAAAAGATCAAAATAAATAAAAATCCCTGAATAATTGAGTGCCGTGATAGAAAAAGACCTGATTCCACAGGACAATTCCAGTGCTTCTAATTAATCAGAGTAATCCAACCTGAATTATCCAGGCTATGAGAAGCTTGGCTTCCTAGTATCTAATTCTGAACTGACACAAAACTATGGGCACCTAGTCATAGATATTATTGGAAGCAGAATTCTATTTATTCACAGGACACCGGGGTTGGCAGCATCCAAGACATCAACACTAATATGATCGTAAGTGCAAACAAGTGCAAAGCTCTCAAGGGAGTCAGTGACATGTCCTTTCCAAGGGCTTTTGAAATATTAAGCTTGAGATATATGTGTGCATGCATGCTGCTGAGTGAGAGATCCATAGCTCAGTCGTAAAGCCTATGATTTTCAATGCAAAGCACCCCATGTTCAATTTCCACCATCTCAAAGCATAGGGCTGGGAAAGAGTCCCTGTCTGACATCCAGGGCAGCCATTGCTAACCATTCTGGGTTGGATGGACGATGTTCTGGCTCTACAAGGTATCTTCCTACATTCCTATGAACATCTGACCTTCTAGCTGTTGCTGGACTACAACTCCCATCATCCCTGACCACTGACCACGCTCCCTGATGGGCTGATGGGACCTAGAGTCCAACAACATCTGGCAAAATGCAGCTTCTCCACAGCCTACAGAGGGGATAGCCTTCTTATTCTGTTGCAGCAAGAATAGCCATGGTTGTTAACACTTATGGTGGCACAAGCTTTGGTGGGCTGTCAATCACTTCATAGAATCATAGAGTTGGAAGGGACCCCAAGCGTCATCTAGTCCAACCCCCTGCAATGCAGGAATGTCAGCTAAAACATTTATGCCATCCAACCTCTGCTTAAAAACCTCCACGGAAGCAGAGCTCGCAATCTCCTGAGGGAGTCCATTCCACTGTCAAACAGCTCTTGCTGTCAGAAAGTTCTTCCAAATGTTCAGTCAGAATCTCCTTTCTTGTAACTTGAAGCCACTGGTTCAGGTCCTAGCCTGTGGAGCAGAAGAAAACAAGCTTCCATGTGATGGCCCTTGAGATATTTGAAGATGGCTGTCATCTCTCTTCTCAGTCTCCACTTTTCCAAGCTAAACATTCCCAGCTCCTTCAACTGTTCCTCATAAGGTCTGGTTTCCAGACCCTTGATCATCTTGGCTGCCCTTCCTCTGCATATGTCCCAGCTTGTCAACATCCTTCTTAAATTGTGGTGCCCAGAATTGGACACAGTACTCCAGGTGGGGTCTGACCAAGGCAGAATGGAGTGGTACTATGACTTCCCTTGATCTGGATACTAAACTTCTGTTGATGCTGTCTAGAATAGCATTAGCTTTTTTTGCTGCTGCATCACACTGTTGACTGGTAGGATGCGAGTGGCACTGAGCCTCTTGGGCTTGCTGATCAGAAGGCAGTTGCTCTGTCCCAGCTCCTGCCAACCTAGCAGTTTGAAAGCATGCCAGTGCAAAGAAAGAAAGATGTTAATTAAGTTAATTTTATTGGAAATTAGTATTGGAAAACTGCTACAATGAGCTACATAGAAACACAGCTTGAGTGACTTGAGGAAGTCATTTAATAAGGGTTATAAAAATATGATTAGAGGTGGAATAAATGTTTGTATGCATGTTTGTTTGTTTTTTATATTGTAATGTTTTTTTCTTTTATGCTGCTTATGCTTGTTATAAAATTGGAAAATTAATTGAAAAAATTGAAAAAAAGAAAGAACAGAAAGCATGCCAGTGCAAGTAGATAAATAGGTACCGCTGTGGTGGGAAGGTAAACGGTGTTTCCATGCGCTCTGGTTTCTGTCATGGTTTTCCGTTGTGCCAGAAGCGCATGCTGGCCACATGACCCGGAAAGCTGTCTGTGCACAAACGCCGGCTCCCTCGGCCTAAAGCGAGATGAGCGCCGCACTGCATATTCGCCTTTGACTGGACTTAACTGTCCAGGGGTCCTTTTGCATCAAGTAAGCAAGGGGTTTCTCTTTCAATGTCACAGATCTGCATGCTTTTATTGTCACAAAGCTGCCAGCATTTAATGGGCAAAGCTGAGGAATCGGTTGTCGCAGCCAAACGCACCAGAGGGACTGTCCCAGCCGAATAGGCGCCACTATCCAGGTAAGCTTAGCTCCAGGAAATCTCCAGTTATCGAGATGTGGAGTCTGCGCGGGCTTTCCCCGCTGTCGTGCCTGCTCCTCGCACCTCAGGTAGTTTGCCTGCCTCCCCCTTCCCCAAGAAACGGCAACTGAGGGACGGGGTGACGTCCCGGGCGCTCCATTCCCCCCGCCCCCTCCCTTCGCCCCAGAGATTTGGCGCGCGCCGCCGGTGTGTTTCCGACCGGCTGGGCGGGCGCGTGTCTATTTGCAGCCCTGCCTGTGCCTCGTGTGGGTGACCTTCGGTGAACCCGAGGCGGGTCTGCCGGCGGCACCACCTGTCCCGGCTGAGGGAGGGGAAAGAGAGCGGAACACTCTGAGGCGAAGCTGGGAGCCACCACCGGCCTCGGACCCTGCCCGGCGCTCCTTCTCCTCCTAGCGCCGGAGCAACCAGCCTCGCGCGCGCCCTGCCGGGCACTGAAAAGCGCCTGGGTTGGGCGAGGCGGACCCTCGAGAAAGGGGCGGGGCCAGCAAGCAGCAGGTGCGCGCGAGCTGCCCGCCTCCCCGCCGCGTGACGCCTGTCTCCCCCTGCAGGCGGCGAGCGCAGGACCCCCCGACGCCACACCGCGCCGCCGACCATGGCGCAGCTGAGGCGAGCGGGCAGCCGCGCGCTCCTCCGCTCCCTTTCCTAGCCGCGCCTGAGGGAGGGAAAGCGGCGGCGGCAGCTCCACGAGATGGGCGCTTCTCGGGGCCCCCGCCGGCCGGGCCCCTGGCTGGCGCTGCTGGCTTGGCTTCTGCTGCTTTTGCCCGGCGACGTCTCCTTCGCCCTGTCGGAAAGCGGAGCGCCCGAGCCGGCGGCGATGCTGGGCGTCAGCCCCACGCCCGGGGCGGAGACCCCTGCGCCTGCGCCGCCCAGCGGGACCCCCTTCGAGGAGACCAGGCTGCACGTCTTCACCTTGGATTACCTGCACGTGAGGGTGCCCTTCGAGATCACCCTGTGGATCCTGCTGGCTTCTTTGGCCAAGATCGGTAAGGGGCGGGAGAAACCCACCAGGTCGATTTCGAGTTTTGCTTGCTTTATTCAAGAGGGGAACAGGCGTGTTGCCCCCATCCAGCTTGCGGTTGATCTCCAAGTAGCCCCCTTTTTCCAGCCTAAGCCCTGTTCTGTGGGGAGACAGAATTATAGAGTTGGAAAGGGACCCAGGGGTCATCTAGTCCAACCCCCAATCAATGCAGGAAGTTCAGCTAAAGCTGGTGGCTCCCCCAGCCTCTGCTTAAGAACCTCCAAGGAATCTGAATTCAGATTGAAATCCCCAGGTGTCAAAAAAGGTTATTTATGTATGCCACTACTGTTCCATATTTTGGTTTTGTTAGCCAAAATATGGAAAACTAGTGAGGTCCCAACCAAAGAAGAATGTCAACTTAAGTTGGCAGAATATGCACAGCTTGCAGGCTTAACATATAGAATAAGAGAAGGAGAAGAACATAATGTTTAGATTGGGAAACGTTTATTGAATATATGGGCTGAAAATGCTGGCAGCATTAAGATAAATTCAACAAGTTTTGACGGATGTAAGAATGGAATACTGGATTTTGTAATAGTTTTTGTAAAATAGGCAGGGATTTGTGATATGTAAAATGAACCATGGAAAGAGAAGAAGGGAACTCATTGATATCTTAAGGATTGTAAAAATGAGTACTTTAAATTGTAAAACAGAACTACCGTATATGCCTCCAAGGAAGGAGAGTCTATGTTTGGGAAGTCAGATCGCTGCTGCTCTTTTTCTTCACAAATTGCCACAAGAAGCAGGACAAGGAGATCCTGAGCGGGCTCAACTTTGCTGCCTCCTCCACTGCTTCTTCCCATGGTGAAGATGTTTTTGCGCTGCAGTTATTATGCATAAGGGAATCAGGGTGGATGCCTGTCACTGAAGAAGCAGTGAAGTAACAGGCATTGCTTTGCTTTCCTGACCTGACAAAGGTCTAGCGTAGAGATAAACATCTCTTGGGAGGATTCCTGCATAATAACTTGATGGTGTGTGTAACCTGAAGCCTTTATGCATTTTTGCTGGCAGGTTCTGTTTGTGTTTCTTCAAACAAAATGAGAGAAAGAAAGAGAAAGGTGGAGGGAGGGGGAGGTAAAAAATATTTTGTTTTAAAATAAATTTTATTAGAGTTTATAAAGAGAAATACAAAACTTAATCTCAAATATCTTTTTTTGTCCAACATTAAGCTAAGTAGGATAAAAACACAATGAAAAGAAAAAGAGAGAGAGAGATGGAGAGATGAGAAAGAAGAAATAGGAAAGAGCTTTCAAGAGGAAATAGAAAAGATAAAGTTCAGAGATTTAAGAACTTCTGATTCATCATCTGCACGCTGTATATAAACAATAATCACTTCCTCCACTCTACTATAACACCTAACAAAACCACTTTCTATAAACAAACATTATCTTCAGCCTTCAAACCCAAATGTTGTTATTTCTTTTTCACGCAAAAAGTCTACGAGAGGTTTCCAATCTTTAGTAAACATGTCAGTTTTGCTATTCTTAATTTCAACAACCATTCATCTATTGTTGGTACTGATGAATCTTTCCGTCTTTGTGATATAATATGTGATTCTTCACATATGGCAGAGGGAAGGGCACGCCATCTTGCAGTGAATGTATGTGCAATATTGCATATTTCATAATCAGTAGAAATCCTTTCAGCATTTCAACAGTTTTGATATAGCCCCTTTAGTAGTCCAGTTCCAGTGTAATCCCATGTCGGCATTATTCTCTTAGTTGTGCACACTGTCCAATATCAGAATGTGTTTAATTCTCCCAATGAAATTTAAATGAGATTTAAAAGTGCATACTTTTGAATGCATCCCACAACTGTTTTAAAGTACTAAGGGTGTTGCACTTACTTAGGAATAATCTCATTGAACTGATGGTGACAGTGGTCTCACCAGGATAAGATTTTGGGGGCAGAGATCCAGAACCTCACTCAGCAGAATGAGTGGGATGACTCTCAAACGCTGGCTTGCTTGTTTATTTATTTCACTTAGAACCAGGACTCAAGGAGGCTCATGGAAAATGAAAGAAATGCAGATAAAATATGAAGGTAAAGGACCCCTGACAGTTAAGTCCAGTCACAAACGACTCTGGGGTTGCGGCGCTCATCTCGCTTTACAGGCGAGGGAGCTGATGTTTGTCCGCAGACAGTTTTTCTAGGTCATGTGGTCAGCATGACTAATCTGCTTCTGGTGAAATCAGAGCAGCGCATGAAAACGCCATTTACCTTCCCACTATTTATCTACTTGCACTGCATGCTTTTGAACTGCTAGGTTGGTAGGAGCTGGGACCGAGCAACAGGAACTCACCCCATCGTGGGGATTCGAACTGCTGACCTTCCGATCAGCAAGCCCTAGGCTCAGTGGTTTAGACCACAGCGCCACCCATGTCCCAGATAAAACATACATAGCTTAAAAATATAAGATATTATGGTTAAAAAGTAATTATACTGTATGTGGAATTAAAGTTTGAGCAGCGCTATGTAGATTCCAATAATAATAATAATAATAATAATAATAATAATAATAATAATAATTTCATTCTTTATATCCTGCCCATCTGGCTGGGTTTCCCCAGCCACTCTGGGCAGCTTACAGCACATAAAAAATTATAAAACCTCAGACACGGAAAATTTCCTGATACATGCACCTGATCAGTTTCAGTTGCTCTTCCAAAGAATTTTTATAAGTACTGCATTCACTTATCATTGTAAACTATAAAAGTGCAGAAGAGTCGTAAAAAGCAGCTCACAAGACACTAATGTACAAGGAAAGCTACGTTTTTAACTTTTATTCCTAGTCATCTAGGAAAGGCTGCTGTGAAATTTTGGAGCTTGCCAAAAGTCAAGGGCACTTAAGTGTCATCGTAGGATGCACTTCAGAACATAGCAACTTATGACTTCTAGTTGAATTCAGTGGTGAACTACCAACGTCTGATTCTCCTTCCGTGAACAAGAACCATAAAGCTATTTGGGAGCGGTTTATTTTCTTTTTCCATTGGGTAGCTGTGTTTTCAGTTCATCAAGCTGTGTAATTATATGGGTTATATATAGAAAAGGAGAGGTATGGGTCAAATGTGAAACGTGACCTTTAGCGCCTGGGGGGAACCGTTTCGACATGGAAAAAGAAAATGAGCCATACAAGAAATACTGCAATGGGATTCACCTTTGGGCAACATACTCCTAAGCATGTTTGCTCAGGACTAAATCCCATTGGGTTCAATGGGGCCAGCACCCTCGTAAAGTGCTGTTAGGACTAAGTGCACTAAGACTGCAATCTAGAGCACATTAACTTGGGAGCAAGCCCCATTTGACACAGTGAGTTTTACCTGGATGCAGACATGGATAGGACTACGGTATGTTGTAGAAAATTTGACCAAGGTCCTTCAGAGTCTGAGAACCAATGACTGTCTGTGAACCAACTTCTTGCTTTGTTAGGACACAAGCAATAAAAAGCAACGAGTGGGCCTTATGAGTCCTTGCATCCAGTTTACCCCTCCTAAACTCTCATCCTTTTGCCTAAAGTGCGTGGATCCCTATAGAGGAAACCTTCTGGCCTTAAGATGGCCTTAAGAAGGCTTCTCCTTCTCTATGTAGCCTTCAACGTGGCACACTCAACATGCTGTTGGACAGGGAGCACAGGATGGGAGTTATGACTGTTCAGGTGAATTGTGGTGGGATGGAAGGTGAGAGTTTTGCAGGCTCCGGACCAGTCCACTACTGGCCTCTGGTTCAGTATTAGGATCTTAGTCCAGTATCTCAGTTGGTGGTACCAGAATATTAGCTGACTATCCTCTTCTGAATCTGACACTGAACTAAGGCCATATTCATAGCTGTGGTACAGATAGTCCCCTACTATATTGTACCTTAGCCAAGACTTAAAATGTTGTATTTTGCAAAATATTAAAGCCTGCATCTCCTAGTTCCTCAGAGCATATGTATTAAAACAAGAGGGGGGGGGACTACCATAAGTTACTGTACAAATACCAAGCTGGTCACTACATTTAAAGGCCGCAGTATTTGCTGGTTTTATGAATATTAACTTGATTCATATCGGTTTTATCTGTTCCTCTTGTAACATGTATTTTATTGCTTTTCTATGATTTTTACCTTGCCCAGAGGACAGGAGTTGTCAAGATTGCGATAAAGCTTTCTTAAGTAGATAAATTCAGTGCAATCTTAATCATGTCTAGTCAGAAATAAGTCCTACTGATGTCAGTGGACCTCACTGTGAGATAAGTATGGTTAAGATTTACAGCCCTTATGGTTGCTTGGGACAGGGATATCTGAAGGACCATTTCCTTCAACATTATCCTGTCCACCGACAGTAGCTGGAGAGGCCCTGCTGTGTGTCTGCGGATTGGTTGGTGGTGGGGATCTGGCAGAGGGTCTGCAGAACTCACTGTTGTGGAAGATCAGACTGTTCCCTTTCTTTGTGTCCTTCAGATACAGGACCATCTTTTAAAAAAAATTGACAGTCATGGTTTTGATTGGCACTTAAATTTTGTTGGTGAACATCACCCGACTGCATGGGCGTAGCAACGGGGGCAGCTGCCCCCCCCATCAAGTAAAACAATAGAAATACAGTGGTACCTCAGGTTAAGTACTTAATTCATTCCGGAGGTCCGTTCTTAACCTGAAACTGTTCTTAACCCGAGGTACCACTTTAGCTAATGGGGCCTCCTGCTGCCACTGTGCCGCCGGAGCACGATTTCTGTTCTCATCCTGAAGCAAAGTTCTTAACCCAAGGTACTATTTCTGGGTTAGTGGAGTCTGTATGTGACCCGAGGTACCACTGTACTTAACTAACTGACCAATCATGTTGGTTCTGGCCCTCCTAAGAAAAGTCCTACTCCTTTCCCCAACAAAAACCGTGACTACACCCATGCCCCAGATACATACCATATTATCTGGATTTTTGCTCTTGGTTTATTGTATGATGCTTTTTCTCTCAGCTGTATGTTGTTAGGTGCCTTCAGCATCCCTTCACTGAGGTGTAAATTTATACCAATAGATGCATAAGTAGATAATTTAAGGGCAGCATGGCACTGGCTTTCATTTTGTGCACAAGTTAACCATCTCTCTCTCTCTCTCCCAACCTCCCCTCTGTGCTTTCATTCTGAAGGTTTCCACCTGTACCACAAGCTGCCCCACGTAGTGCCAGAGAGCTGCCTCCTTATTCTGGTTGGATTAATTCTAGGTGGAATTATGTTTGGAGTACAAGAAAAGTCTATAACGGTGATGAACAGTGACGCCTTTTTCTTGTACCTTCTGCCCCCAATTGTCCTCGATGCCGGCTACTTTATGCCAACACGCCTCTTCTTTGAGAACTTCGGCACCATTTTATGGTACGCGGTTGTAGGGACTCTTTGGAACGCATTTGGCATCGGCATTTCGCTCTTTGCCATTTGCCAGATTGAAGTATTCGGCCTGAGCGATATCACTCTGCTGCAGAGCCTGCTTTTCGGCAGCTTGATTTCAGCCGTGGATCCCGTGGCAGTGCTGGCTGTTTTTGAAAACATTCATGTCAACGAGCAGCTGTACATCCTAGTTTTTGGGGAGTCGCTGTTGAATGATGCTGTAACGGTGGTAAGTCTCTTGGCTTAAGTGTTCTTTGCTTAAGTGTTCTCCACACTGAGAGCCAGTGTGGTGTAGTGGTTAAGAGCGGTAGTCTCGTAATCTGGTGAACCGGGTTCGCGTCTCCGCTCCTCCACATGCAGCTGCTGGGTGACCTTGGGCTAGTCACACTTCTTTGAAGTCTCTCAGCCCCACTCACCTCACAGAGTGTTTGTTGTGTGGGAGGAAGGGAAAGGAGAATGTTAGCCGCTTTGAGACTCCTGAAGGGGAGTGAAAGGCGGGGTATCAAATCCAAACTACTACTACTACTCCTACTCTTCTTCTTCTACTTCTTCTTCTTCATTGTTTTGAACTCTCCCCACTTCCCACATTTCTTTCAGCTATATAACAGAGTGAAAGAGAAGAAGCTGGGGCTTTATTGAGTTTTAGGAAAAAATAATTAGAGCAGAAAAATGCCTGCGATACATGCTAATGGATTTAGTACTGGATCTTTTAAGCAATTTGTGCACTTTGTAACATTTTGGGTCCTTTTAATCAGGAAGCAGAAGTGTCTTCGTGAAAGGGGCCAGAAGGGGTCTTTAGCACTGAATGAGTAATAGGGCAAGTAGGTCTGCTGATCGAATGGCTTTTACAAACAGATGTTTCGGTTAGCACTACCTCGTTGTGAATATACAGTACCTACCTGCTTGTAGGTGGACTGAGATTGCCAGTTTATTTTATGCAGCACACTTTGCAGCCGTTACATGGGAGCAATGTTTAATTATTAACTGGATTGGTTTTCAAAAGATCATAGACTTCATCCATCTACCAATTCCTCAAGCTATCCATTTCCATATGAATGAATAATCACACCAGGAACATTGCTAGACTTTGTACTTACCTCAGGTTCCTTTTGGAAAAGTATTGCTGCACTGATGGCTTCTTGCTATAATTGTTTCAATTGCCACTTTATGGGTAGTGTAATGACTCACACCTATATAAGCGCATGCTCACCACACAATGCATGGATTCACACACCTGAACAAGCACACATAAGAAGGGGAAGTGTGTGAATGGGTGGTAGTTGTCGTATACCTCAGGGCAGGCTCATGCAGAGCTTGTCTGAGGCCTGGGGTGGAAGTCTTGTTATAAACTAAACTAAACTAAACTAAACTAAACTAAACTAAACTAAACTAAACTAAAAACTAAACTAAACTAAAAAAAAAGCCAGTCCCTAGCAAGTCCCCTCACTAGCCACCTTAGCTGTCCAAGGCGTGGTTTGGTCAACCTCTTCCAGCTAGCTCTTACAACCCAAGATACACAACTACTGAGAGCTCATGTGGCAGACTGAACGTTGTGAAGCATCTTGTCCACATCCTGCCACCACAGTAAGGGAAACCGCCCCTAAATAAATTTAACTAGACAGTGCACTGGACGCTGCCCTAGAACTGCCCCAATAGTGAAGTCTACTTCAGAGTGAATCTGAGTAGCTTTGCCTTTAAAGTGCTTACCGTTGGTCTCCCAAGATTTTGAAGGCCCCAGAAATCAGCTGGATTCAACAGTCTGAAGCGGTGCTGTGCTGGAAATTTCTCATACATTTTCCAGACCGTTCTCTACCAATAAGTGAGATAAGAAATTGCATCTGAGAATAATCAAAGGGAAGAGAAAACTTTGGCAAAATTCTCAGTGGTGAGGTACAGTTTTTTGTTTGATGCAATTGTCTTAAATTTGAGATGGTCGAGGGGTGTCTTTCATTCTACAAATTATCTAACCTGCATTGCAGGGAGTTGGACTAGATGACCCTCGTGGTCCCTTACAATTCTATGATTCTAACCAGTGGCCTGCGCTCTGAGGCCTTCCTGGGTGCCCAGGCTTCAGTCAAGGCCCAGGGGAATACATCCTGAGGTAATTCCACCTATTTACCCACTCCAGCAACAAATTCCTTCCAAGCTGATCCTTTTTTCTATGTTTAACATGAAATTACCTGACCTTCTTCATGTTGCTGAGCGAAATTGCTATGGCCATGGCAATGTTCTGTATTGGAGATGATCAATAAAACCTGTTCGGTCCAGGCATCCCCTAAAATCAACACCCTGTGATGCCTTACTGCGTTTCAAACCAATGTAGCATAATTCACAACATGCTGATGTAAGTCCTTCTTGACTGTACTTTCTTCAAAGTAAAAAATTAAAATAAATGAAAAGGACTAAAAAAACTTGATTCCCTTCTCGCCCATATAATGTATCTGATCTAATAATATGAAAAGTGTATTTCACCAGCCAAGCTCTGGAGATTTACGGAATATTTATAAAATGTGCTAGTATTATTCTAGGGACATAAGAGCATAAAACGAGCTGTGCAAGATAAGACCATAAATTCATCTAATCCAGCCTTCTGTTCCCTACAGTAATCAGGCAGTTGCCCTTCCCTGATGTTTGCCTGTCAGCGCTTGCTGTTTGGAAACATGCTCCTTATGGATTTGGAAGATTCCATCCAAGTATCATGACCAATAGCTGCTGACAAGCCTATCAGTGATTAATTTGATCTGAACTCTTTTTGAATGCATATAAATTCATGGTTATGAATTCCATAAATTAATCAGACATAATCTTATCAGCCTGTCATCCTCCAACCCCAGTTTTCTTTCCCCATCTTGCTTCAGGCCAGGGCCGGCTCACACATGAGACAGGGCGAGGCAGCTGCCTCAGGTAGCAGAAGGCCAAGAGTTGGCGCTTCCTTGGGTATCCCACAACCTCTGCCAGAAGCCGCCATCATTGCCACTGCTCCACAGGTGCTACCATGCAACCCAAGCAAGGGAAGCTGTTGTGTTGGCAGGGCAGTGTAGCAGCATGGGTCACAGTGGTACATTCCTGTTTCACCTCAGGCCACACAATGTGATGCACCACCCATGCTTTAGGCAATTCCTCCATCCCCTTGATCATTTTGGGTGCCCCTTTCTCCATGTTTTCTGTTGTATCCTTTTTGAGGTGGGATCACCTCTCTCATTATGATGCATGTTTGTGTTATTTTCACTAATATATTCATTTTTTACACATTTCACCCTAATACATGCATTTCTGTAAACACTGGATAGAGAACTACTGCTAAACTAAATTTAGATAACTGTGAATTTTGAGGATGGCTTCGTTTTGGTCCTCATATTCTTTTGGAAAGTACAAGCTTGATAAAATTGCCTTTAAAGTATGTGTATTCAAACATGCAAGGTCTACCTTCTGCGAACGAAAGTGGTACTGTCCAGGAAAAGCCTTGCTGCTTAGTTCTGCTGAGTATAAACTGGACTGATGCCTAGGCTTAATGGATATCATTTGATAGCATCAAGGAACGCCTGGGGAATTGAACAAGGAAGTGAGCTTGCTGCTTTAATGTGAGATGGGAATGCACTGCTGAGAGTTCAATTTCTATCTTCTATATTGTAGATTTACATTGCATGTTAATATATTTTAAAAGAAATGCTGTTCTGGGGCTTAAATGTGGTGGCCAGTCTTTTAATTATGCAAGCATCTTATCAAATTAAATCTGTTCAGGTGAATGCATCCTGCTGTTGCATCCTTTCCAGACTTTCTGCTTTTTCTGTGTCTCAGTTCACAGTACTGTGATTACTGCATTTTTTAAAAGCAGCAATGTGGACATTGTTCCATGCAGTGAGCCACAGTTTACCCTACATGTAGCATGATCCCTGGGCTCACGTGTTCCTCTGTCCTCTGGTGTGGTCATGAGGAGGAGATCAGAAGTGATAGCTTCTGTTTTCAGTTGACTGCATGTGGTTCATCATGTCTGAATGAGGACAAATTGTGAGTAGTTTTAACTATGGTTTGTCTGAACAAGCCAACTTCAACCATGGCTAATTATCCTGTTGGTATAAACTACAGTTAATGCTAACCACAGTTTGTCCTAGTTCAGAAACTAGTTGGGCCGGCAATATAAAAAGATGAATGGAATAAGAATCTGATGTTTGCACATTTTTCCTATATGAAGCAGCATCAAGTCAGCCACATTTTAAAGCAGCTACTGTGCTGACTACACGAAGATAATCTAGATCTATTACATCTACCTCTGATGTAATAACCTTGTATATGGCTAGAAAGAACGCAAACATACTTTGCATTATTTCAGGGCAATTGCTTGTCTAATTAATGGGATGAGTGACAGATCATTTTCGCTGGGATAGTATCATGGTCTTCAGTTACATCAAACTGTACTATTGTCTAAAATTACATAGTAGCAATATTACATAATTTAAATTTTCCAATTAAAGCTACAGCGAGGATTCTAAAAGAAGTTAACTTTTTCTCTCCCTTTCATAGGTCCTGTACAACCTCTTCAAGTCTTTCTGCAAGATGCGTACAATTGCGGCTGTTAGCATATTTGCTGGAATTGCTAATTTCTTTGTAGTTGGAATTGGCGGAGTTTTGATTGGAATTGTTATGGGCTTTGTAGCAGCTTTTACAACACGTTACACCCATAAAATCAGAGTGATTGAACCACTGTTTGTCTTCTTGTACAGTTACCTGGCATACATAACAGCTGAAATGTTTCATCTCTCAAGCATTATGGCGTAAGTATCCATGAAAATAGACTGCGCTAAGAATACTGTGTATATATTAGAAACATTAACCTCTGCTCTTATAAGACCACAGTCCTATTCTGACTCAATGGGAGCAAGACAATGAGAGAGTTTTGTTCTGCATAGACATGCATAGAATTTCACTGTCAGTTAACTAACATCTTGTCATCAGTCAAGATGGCAACTGGAGGGGTAGGTGCATGCCAGAGTTAAAATTCAAAGCTGGGTTTTGAGCAGCTTTTTATCCAGATCAGTACCTGAACTTCTACTGCCTTGCTTTTACTGATAAAGCAATGCAAATTGGTCAGTGCAGGAACCTTTTTTGCTTTTGAATACAACATTTTGTATGTACTCACTTTTTAAAATCTTGCATGGAACAAGTAGAAACCCCCCCCCCATTTACTCATGCTAAAACTTCCCATTTAATTTATTTTTCATTTAGATCCCTAGTAAAGTGACCCTAGTGAAGTGAAATTTAGAAGCACATTGAAACTTTTGCAAAGTTTAGTAGCAGGTCAACGAAACTTGATGACTGCATCCAGTGATCTAGATTTTTCCAGTCACCAGACAGAAACTGCCTTGTTTGTGCAAGGTGACTTGCATTACTGGTATAACCATGATGAAATGCAGTTTGTATTATCATCAAACTTTTTTCTTTTCCTTTCCTGCTGTAAAGATGGTTTTAGATAAGTGAATATGATTGCCTTAAGTGTGCTTTACCCAACTGAAATCAATAGAATAAAATATGCCTGACTCTTTGTTTGATAACTGGGCACAGAAATAAAATAAAAATTAGGAGAGCAGTGGCATCTTCTTAGACATATGATATTATTAAATGCTCTGAGTCTGGTGCAAATCTTGAGTAATAATGATATATTCTAGCCATTATAGCTGCAGTTCATAGTTATACTTTGACTAGCTAGCATTACAATGGTCAGATACCATACATTGGCTATGTGGCTGATCTTCAACATTCCATTGCAAACTGCAAACTCAGCAATCAAGCAGAGGTTGTGTTAATGGGTGGTGATGTGATGAATTCTCCAAGAACTGCTTGGTGACTCGCTTCACATCACTGTCTTCCCCCAGTGGAGCAACCTCCGTGCAGTTTACTTGACCTGCAGTCACAGTGATGTCTGTTGAGCTCTTCACACTTTAGTTGGGAACCAGAGTAGTTGTGGACCATAGGCCCATGGCCAGGCCGCACAATAGAGCTTGCAGACTCATGTGTCCTCTGCAGGTTTATGGTGCATGCAACTGTAGCTGAAACAGAAATAATTGAAAACCATATAAACTTCCTGTTTTCTACCTGTCCCCAGCAGATGTGCCTTCCGCTCACTCAAAGCATTCTTTGTATCTCACCCTTTATGTTTTTTAAGTTACCTGGCTGATTTAAGTATACACCCAAAAAATGCGACATATAAATGTAACCATATAGGTTTGCTTCTACATGGTGTTTGAAATGGCTGATTCATGTGTGAATCTAGCCTTAGTTGGCAATGGAAGACATTTGATAGGTGCGGCTGTTCAACATCATGGAAAATACCTTAGAGTTCAAAATTAAAACAGGAAGCATAGCCCTAGGTCCACCCACATAAGATATCTGTTTGAAGTTCATCCTCTGTCATGAAATGGCATCTTGTGAAAAGTGAAATCATGACACGCTGAATCCCACAACGCTGAGTAACTAAAAAGGAGACACTTAATTATAGCAGTCAGCTGGTGCCCATGGTGCACTGTGGCAGCATGTAATGTCCTTACAGAACAGCAAAGGAAACAAGCGTTTCCTCAAAGAATGATCACTTCGTTTTCTGCAAGTAAATTGAAACGGAGCCTTCCCTTTAAAAAAAGGTTAGGAACGAAGCAATGTGTGCATGTTAATTTACCATGACTCCCTGGCACTGCTTTGCAAACAGGTTTTTAAACTTCCTTGCATTTAAACATCAGTTGGTAATATGAAGTTATGCAAGAGACTTGCTGTTCAGGAACAGTGAAACAATGTCCCGTGACGCACACAGATCTCTCAGTCCCATTGAAGTCCACGCATTTCCCTTGTATTTACTAACCCACACAATCAACCGACAGCATAATCCTATCAAGTGTCTGGTTGGAAGGAAGCCCCAATGAGTTCAATTGGATGTACTCCAGCGTGTGTATAGGATTGCAGCCTAAATTCTCGGAGCTCTTCCTTCCTGTTCTAGCTAAAGTTGGTTCCACCTTTCAGTCAATCGCTTTTTGAACCTCTCCATGTATTTAATGCTTCAACAGCAGCTGGATTGCTGAAATGGAAATGTAAGCAGAATTTTGCTAATCTGAGGAACCGCCTTAAAACCTTCCTGGAATAACAGGCTATGCTTTTTGCATTGGGCTGTGTAAGCTTTAATGTAAGTATTTTGGAAGCTGAATTAAAAGTTGCTTTCTTCTGCAGGATTACAGCTTGTGCCATGACCATGAGTAAATACGTGGAGGCGAATGTTTCTCAAAAGTCCTACACCACAATAAAGTACTTCATGAAGATGCTGAGCAGTGTCAGCGAGACCCTGATCTTTATTTTCATGGGCGTGTCCACAGTTGGAAAAAACCATGAGTGGAACTGGGCCTTTGTTTGCTTTACCCTCCTGTTTTGTTTGATTTGGCGTGCACTAGGTAAGAGACACTTAAAACGGTATAGATTGCACTTCAACATACTTTACACCTGAAACATGCTTATCTTATATGGAGCAGTGTGCTTGACCAAAAAAAAAAGAATGAAAAGAAAGCTGCCATCAAGAGAAAAAGCAAAAACTGCTCGAAAGAAAGACATGTTCTGGACACAGAAGACTGTGGGTCTTTCCAGACGATCTTTCAATGTTATTTCAAGTGCTAAAGTAAATCAGTCCGCCAGTCTATAAGCTATGTTTAGGGAAGCTTTTAATGTTTAGTAGATTATTGTATTTTAATATTCTGTTGGAGCCGCCCAGAGTGGCTGAGGAAACCCAGCCAGATGGGCTGGGTATTATTATTAATGATAATAATATAATGATAATGTTAATTCGGTTGGCTTCTGTGCTTGGGAGTGGTGTGGTGTCTCACATTTCAATGGCAGCCCGTCCGCAACACCCAAATTCAGGGCCTCCTTCCACTTCTCCACTTCCATTCTGCATTATAGTTGCAGCGCCCCTGAAGGTTTGATTTGACCAAATCAGCTGGACTCCCGTAAATCCACCTCCGTTGGTGGGAATGTTGCTGTTCATTTCAGGCAGTGAAATGTTTTGGACTGTCCCTGGTAGGGGAGCATAGCTGTCAACTTACAGATTTGAAAATAAGGGGACCAGCAGCCTTGAAAATAAGGGACCAGCAGCCTCACCTGTTCCAGGCACTCCAGTCTTCCTGTCCTCCTGCAGTTTGGTCAAACTCATGCTAGTAGCTTCGAGAACACTGTCCAACCAACTTTGTAACCAGAGGTTCAACTGAATAGAATCTGAATCACATGCACCACAAGGCCTATGCAGCCTCAACTTAAGATGGCTCCCCGGTCTGGCTTTGCACTGCAAAGTTTGCAGCAGCACATGCAACAAAATGGCGTCCAGCATTCAAAAAACCCCTCAGCTTGCATTAACTAGCCACACACAAGGCATGCAAGCTCCACCCCCCAGTCGTTCTTAGACTTCTTATTGGGTGAGCAACACAGCCAAGCAACACAGTTGGAGCCTCCCTCCTCCCTGGCCGGCAGGGAGGGAGGGAGAGGAGCTGCTTCCTTTGAAATTTAAGGGACATCATTTAAGGGACATTTAAGGGACATCCATCAATAAGGGACAGCAGCGGGACATGGCGCTGGAATAAGGGACTGTCCCTTCAAATAAGGGACACTTGACAGCTATGTAGGGGAGCTATTTAAAATTCTTCCTCTTGATTTCGGTTATCATGATACTTCCATTAAGAAAGTGTCCTTGGTTCAACCCCCACCAACTACAGTGAGAAAACTCTCTCTCTCTCTCTCTCTCTCTCTCTCTGTGTGTGTGTGTGTGTGTGTGTGAGAGAGAGAGAGAGAGAGAGAGAGAATGCTGTGCAGGAAGTGGGGAGAGAAGTGCAGGGACACTCAGGTTGCTTGTGCAACAGAAGCCCTTGGGAAAGTGTCACATGTAAATAAAACTTCTGCACCTCTTTGTCATATGACATAAAATGGAAGGTAACATTCCTACATTTATTTTGGAAACATTATTATATTTGTCTTAAATTTAAGGTTCGGAACCATGCTTGTCTTTCTATATTTTCCTTAGGAGTTTTTGCATTGACTCAAATTATTAATGTATTCCGGACAATTCCTATAACATTTAAGGACCAGTTTATAATTGCCTATGGAGGCCTCCGAGGAGCCATATGTTTCTCTCTTGTTTTCTTGCTTCCTTCTGCCGACTTCCCTAGAAAGAAGCTTTTCATTACCGCTGTTATTGTGGTGATATTCTTCACAGTCTTCATTCAGGTAAGAATATCCCTCTTTTGGGATGGGATTAAATAGTTATTTGCACTAAAACCTGCAAAGAGCCCAGTCAATGTTCCTACTACTTATTTTGGCCATGGGACTAATATAGTATTGGCACTGACAGCCTGCAAGTAGACCAGTACCAATGCCATCTGAAACTTCTACTGGAATAAGTGAATTTACTCCCAAGAGTAATTTCTTCCTCTTGTCCTCCTAATGTCTTGTATGATCATATTTTACTTCTGTAATGAATATTCTGTAATTTGGAAGAGATATCTCCATAGCTGTCAACTTTTCCTTTTTTGAAGGGTAATTCCCTTATTCCAAATAGGATTCCTCGCAAGAAAAGGGAAAAGTTGACAGCTATGGATATCTCACAGAAGGACTTATACACAACTTAGTAAATCATATTCTGAACTAGTTAACACATCTTGTCTACAGCTTTACAGGCAAATAGCGAAATCAGTTTTAAAAACAAAGATTGCAATTCGTGACTTGCCAGTAATATCTTCCTATATACATAAAAATGCAAGGCTGTCGTTATGCTGCAGTTCACGTGGCCGCCGGTAGGAGGCCACACCAGCTCCAGTGTGGTGGCAGTCTGTCAGGTGAAGCCGCAGTGTGGTTGACAGGTGACTCAGGTGAACTGTTTCATGGAGGGGAGAGCTTCACAGAGCTTTTTGATAAACCGCTTTGTAAATTGGCTGTCTCCCTCTGTTAAACATGGCTGCAGCAACGTGTAATGGAGAAGGGAGGCGCTTCATTCACAAAAGGTGGGGTGACCTGAGAGGAGGGGGAGGGGAGGTTTGGCTGAGCTGCGATGAGGTGGGTGAGGTGTAAAGGGAGAAGGGGTTGGCCAGGTATGGAGGAATCGGAACGAGCCGGGGTGGCAGCCTCTAGTCATTCATAAATTTGACCCAATGCATTTTACAGCTTGTTGACTACCAACCTCATTTTATCCAGAAATGTAGTGGCTCACAGAGAACATACTTTGCTTTTTGCCCTTTTAATACCACAGATAGAAATCTAGGAAGCTAGCTTATTCCAGAGCTGTGTATACACCACACATTTCAAGCACCTCCCATCAGAATCCTGGCCACTGTTGTTTACTCCTCATAGAGCTATAATTCTCAGCGCTCTTAACAAAATACAGTTCCCAGGGTTCTTGGGGATGTGTGTGTTTACATATATGCAGCTCCAGGTCAGACAGGTTCTCCACCTAGTCCAGCATGGTTTTTTGTGAAAGACAACAGATTTCTAGGGCCAAGGACAGTTTTCCACAATCACCTACCACCTATATTTCTTGGGCATCTGGATTCAGACATCAGCAGTAGATCTTTAAAGTCTGTGCTGTCTGGTTTCGAAAATAAGAAAAAGAAAGAAAACCAGGTACATTTTGGGGGACTTTATTGTGCTGTTATCTGAGGCAACATGCAACTGTTCTACTGCTTCTGAACATTCATTTACCAAGCTACACGCTGAACAGAATATGAGAGTGACACAGTGGAAAGAAAATTTTAGGGCTGATGCGATTTTCATGCTTGTTTTTTGTGTTTCCTGAAAACAGGGAATAACAATTCGCCCACTGGTGGAATTTCTGGATGTTAAAAGAGCAAATAAGAAGCAACCAGCTGTTAGCGAGGAAATTTATTGTCGGGTATGTTGGAGTTTTGGGTGAACAACATGTACTGAAATGTAGTTTTAGTAGCTGAACGTTTCTTCTTTGGTGGGAAATAATGTGCCATTTATAACATGTGCTTGTTACATGAATTAATTCATTTTGGTACCGTATGTGTCACATACCAGTGTGTCTTTGAGTTCGTGAGCACCTTTTCAGCCTGCAGTTCTGGCCTAGTGTCTCGTATCACATTTCCCCCCCCCCACTGGCAATCTTAAGATAGTGACTTTAAAACACACTAGTTTGACACAACAATTTAATTCAGTTTAACCTTTATAGCTCAGTCCTTCATGTTTGCTTGGAAGTACGTTTCAGCTGAGCTCACTGGTTGTTAAATCCCAAGTAAGTATTGAAGCTCAGTTAAATTCTGCACATAATGACAGCAGGGGTGTGTTCTACTCTTTATAGACACAGCTGTGCACATGTGGCTCAGGGAAAGCTGCTTACTTCGCTTCCCTATTTCCCCTGGAACTGAGCTACTGGTATACCAGGATGCTGGAGAAGAGAAGTATGGCTTCTGATACATAGATGAGACATGCACATGCCACCCTTTGAAACTGGTTAGGTGCAGTGTGTGATAGTAAAGGTAAAAGGTAAAGGACCCCTGAACGGTTAAGTCCAGTCAAAGGCGACTCTGGGGTTGCGGTGCTCCTCTAGCTTTCAGGCCGAGGGAGCCGGTGTTTGTCCACACACAGCTTTCTGGGGCATGTGGCCAGCATGACTAAACTGCTTCGGGCACAATGGAACACCATGATGGAAACCAGAGCACACAGAAACACCGTTTACCTTCCTGCCGCAGCAGTACCTATTTATCTACTTGCACTGGCGTCCTTTCGAACTGCTAGGTTGGCAGGAGCTGGGACAGAGCAACAGGAGCTCACCCCGTTGCTTGGATTCGAACTGCCAACCTTCCGATCAGCAAGCCCAAGAGGCTCAGTGGTTTAGACCACAGCGCTCCCCGCTCCCCTGTGCGATAGTGGCCAAGGGTTAAGTAGGGTGATATGGTTGCATGCACACCATACATTTAAAGTACATGACTTTCCCCAAAGACTCCTGGGAACTGTAGCTTATATGTCTCAGCACTCTTAACAGACTGCAGTTCCCAGAATTCTTTGGGGTAAGCCATATACTTTTAATGTATGGTGTAAATATAAATTTAGAGAGAAGAAAGAAATACCATTTTCTCTCAGCTATTGTGTTCTTGTAACTGGGTCATTAGGTTACAAATGTGGAATGACTTCAGGAGTAGCTTAGATAAACAATATTTATATTGGTTGAAATTTTCCTCAGTGATTGCATGTGGCTTAAGTCTGTGGCACATACAAAAGCAAGTAATGAGTCTGTTTCCACATTTTAGTTCTTTGATCACGTGAAAGCTGGAATTGAAGATGTGTGTGGACACTGGAGTCACAACTTTTGGAGAGATAAGTAAGTAGTGTACTGAAACATTAGTGGAGTGGGGGGAAAGTGAGAAGCCCAGCTTGATTCCTCAGTTCAATAATTACATTCAGAAATCTACCAATGATTTTTATAAAGCATTATTTTGTGTGGCTTTGTGGATGAGATGATTTTAGCAAACCTGAATACTGATATATAATTAGTTTAAGCATTTGTACTCATCAAACTACATGAATTAAAAACCTGACTTTATTTCAAAAACCCTACATTCAAAAGGCAAGTGTTTGTTAATATTCATGAGGTAATCTGCTGGGACTTTGGTTTAGCTATTGGACCATTCTAGTTCAAATGTGTTGTTATGAAGTGCATAGTTTGTGTCCAAACCTGCAGTTCTTCCATGTATACCTGACACTCCTTTTTTGGATCTTTTGACTTTGTGGCCCGAGTGTGTCTGAGTGTTTCATGGAGTCAAAGAATACCACTCAGTATCATTACCTGTTATTGGAATAACATAGAATTAGCATATTTCTTAAAAAGGTGTTAAGCAGGACTCAAGCTTTCATAAACAGCACAGTATCACTAGCCTTAACCCCTAATGATTCAAGCTGCCCATTCAATCAGCATCCATACAGGTACATGGGAAAGTTAGGATGCGGGAAAATTGGTCAGAGAATGTCTCTCTGTGTGTAGGGTAGCTGAGGCTAGAAGAAGCTTGTGGGTTGGACGATAGAGGCAGGGGGAAGAGAGAGGACGAGAGCAAGCGGTTAGCTGCCTAGGAATGTGAAAGGGCGAGGGGTTGACTTAATACCTGAGAAAAGGTGGCTTATAAAGGAGACATGGAAGGGAATGAAAAGTCTGACAGCTGAGGGACTTGCCAGGAAACAGAGTATGTGATACCTATCTTTTACTTCTGTGAAGCTGGAGTTTGATGGAAAGGAAATAGCATGGAGGCCCTTCCACACCAGGAAAAATCGCTAGAGGCGTAAGAAAGAGAGAGACTAACAAAGACTAACAACCCCCCTTTCCTTTCTCATTGAAGACAGGATCCGTGCTACACCTGGATTAAGAGGTTGTCCAGGCTTCCTCAACCTCGGTTCTCCAGATGTTTTTGGCCTACAACTCCCATGATCCCTAGCTAGCAGGACCAGTAGTCAGGGATGCTGGGAATTGTAGTCTCAAAACATCTGGAGGGCTGACGTTGAGGAAGCCTGGTCTTGTCCCTTCCTGGGCTAAAAAACAGAAGGTGAAAATTAACAGTAACTGGGACCATCTCCTTCGGTTACTTCTAAGCTGGGAATTTTCCAATTTGCCAGGCAGTTCCAAAAAGGAGCAGAGGAAGCAAAAGGATTAAGCTGGAAACTATAACAGTGGGCATAACTCAGGGGTGCTGACTGTGTGTGTCACATAGGAAGCATTTCAGAGTATGTCTTCCACCTGTCTTTTGGTTATAGCTCAGGCTGCTCCTAGTCCTGCCTGTGAGCAGAATTTTGGCTGCCATTCCCTGTGCAGGCTATCCATATCAAAAACTGAAAGTTGACCTTGTAACAGTGTTTAGAAGACACTGCAGCATTTTAGAATTTAATCTGCAGCATTGCTTCTGCTCCTCACAGGTTTATAAAGTTTGACAAGAAATACTTGCGAAGGCTTCTGATTAGGGAAAGTGAGCCCAAATCAAGTATAGTTTCCCTGTACAAGAAACTTGAAATAAAGCATGCGATAGAGATGGCAGAGTGTGGAATGATAAGTACGGTACCATCGCTGGCTTCTATAAGGTAAGTTGAGGGCAGTAGGGTGCAATATCATTGCTAGTTTGAATCCTGACTATGTTGCATTTTGCATCCTGACTATGTGCATTCTACAGTTGCCAAATTGTAGCCAAAAGTGCCAAATCGTAGCCAAAAGTGAATTAAACAGTATTTTCTACATCTAGGATTAACTAGTCTGTATATTTCAAAGAACTGTGTTGTGTCCAAAACATTAAAAAAAATCCAGATGACTTGCAATAGAAAAAACAGGTTACAATATAAAAAAACAGCTTATTAAAGCTAAATACAACAATGGCAGTACAATATATGGATCCAACACCAAGAATAAAACACTTAAAATGCCTTGGATTTTTTTTGGGGTTGTTGTTGTTGTTGTTATTATTATTATTATTATTATTTGGTGCTATAATGACAATAAAGAAACTGGCATGTGAACTTCTCCTAGCAGAACATTCCATGACCAAGGTGCCACCACTGAAAAGGCCCCAAAACCTGTTGTATCTACCCATTGTATCCACAAAAGTGGAGGCACTGCAAAAAAGGCTTTTAATAATGTTCTTAGTGAATGGGCAAACTCAATGAGAGTTCAGTTGATAAATTAATCAACCAGAGCTGCAACCTCTATACCCGCTTACCTGAAATAAGTAAGCCCCATTGAACTTACTTGAACTTTCTTCTGAGTTGAAATACACAGGATTTTTGATCAGACATATAAGATGTAATCCTACACACACTTAGCTGGGAGTAAAGTCCATTCAACTCAATGGATCTTGCTCCTGAGGCCCATGATTGTGCCATCTTACTTAATACTGTCTAGACTCTAGACTGACTAGCAGTAGCTTTCCTGGTTTTCAGACTGGCGTGTCACCCAGCCCTAACTGGAGATTTCAGGAACTGAGTATCAGACCTACTGCAGATACTCAACCAGTAAACTACAGCCCTTAAACAAACAACCTGTGCTACTGTAAAATGGAATGGCAACTGACATCTTGAAGATAGTTTTTCCTTCTAACAATTAATGCATGCTTTTTACTGTGAGGTGCCATGAGCTTTTCTTACACGGAAATTACTTCCTGTCTGATGTTTTCAAGTTTTCAAAGCAATCTTCAGTCGGTTGACATACCCACCAGTAACAAATGTGAACAAAATTCTATCATGGTTACATTTAAAAGAACACATGGCTCAGTCCTATTTGGGATTTTGCTAGAATTCTATTTGTGTTCTTGCATATATCTTGAAATTGTCTGAAATGTAATAGCTATAGTTAGACCAGCTGGGACTTTTGTTATAGAAATTGTAAGGATAGGCATTCCCTGCTCTCCCGGCACCCCATTTATGGAGAAATGTGAGTAGCAGTGAAATTCTGTATACTCAGAAGGCCTGAGTTCAGTGGCAATTACTTCCAGGTAGCTGTGGCCTTGGGACGCAGGTGGTGCTGTGGGTTAAACCACAGAGCCTAGGACTTGCCAATCAGAAGGTTGGCGATTCGAATCCCCGCGATGGGGTGAGCAACCGTTGCTCGGTCCCTGCTCCTGCCAACCTAGCAGTTCGAAAGCACGTCAAAGTGCAAGTAGATAAATAGGTACCGCTCCAGCGGGAAGGTAAACGGCATTTCCGTGCGCTGCTCTGGTTTACCAGAAGTGGCTTAGTCATGCTGGCCACATGACCCGGAAGCTGTCTGCGGACAAAGGCCAGCTCCCTCAGCCTATAGAGCGAGATGAGCGCCACAACCCCAGAGTCGGTCATGACTGGACGTAATGGTCAGGGGTCCCTTTACCTTTACCTAGCTGTGGCCTTATTTATAGTAGTGCAAGTTATTACATATTTTCCTTTATATTTTGTTTCACCTTCTTACAGTGAACTTAAAGAAGAAGAAGAAGAAGAAATAAGACCTTCCTATCCTGCCAAGATGGATGACATAAGATACATTTTAACAAAAAATCTCTATCAGATACGGCAAAGAGTAAGTAGAATACAGCATTAATGGAACACCCCCGTGGTGAATGTATCTAGTTTCTCAGCTGGCAATGTTTTTTCCTCCCTTAATAAAATCACCAGGATGCCATCCTAAGCAAACTTACTTGGAAGCCATTTCCATTAAAATCAGTGGGACTCGCCTCTGGGAAAATGTATTTAGGATTAGTGTATGGGAAAGCTGATAAATAAACATGGTAAAGACAAAGAAGTATGAGAAGTTGTACTCCAGGCTTTATAAAATGTCTTAAGAAGAGGAGTTTGTGATGGTTTTCTAGAACACAAAGATGTGCCACTCAACACTAGGCACGAGCATAAATTCTGAATATTCTGAGCTACACACGCACACAAACACACACTTAATACATACACAGATTTAAAGTGCTGTGCATAGGTGAGTTTCACAGTAGCTTAAAATAGTTCCTTCTCCACTGGTCGTTAAGAGAACCCTGTGCGGCCGACCTCTATGTAAATAGGATGTTGAAGCTTATTGTAGCTGTTAATGTTCACAATCCTATTGTTTAAGCTGGAATTGATCACCCAGGGTTTCTGATGATTAAATACAACTCCACATAATGTATTCCACTGCATTTTACAGTGGACCCTCCGGAAACGAATTAAATTCATTCCGGGGGTCCATCCGCAACCTGAAAAGTCTGAAGGCAGAGGTGCTGCTTCCACATGCGCACGATTGAGCACTTCCACCCATGTGTGTGGTGCACAGAGCGCTTTTGCGCATTCGCACGCAGCGAAACCCAGAAGTATACACTTCCAGGTTTGCCGCGTTCGTAACCCGAAAGTTACGTATCCAGAACGGTACGTAACTAGAGGGTCCACTGTACTGTGTGATAATACAGTGGTGCCTTGCAAGACGAAATTAATTTGTTCTGCGAGTTTTTTCGTCTTGCGAATTTTTCGTCTTGCGAAGCACGGTTTCCCATAGGAAAAATAGTGATGGCATCATTGCTGCTCTATCAATTGAGCTGTCCCATGAGAGCCACTCTGGAATCCAGATTAAGTTTCTGGCCATCCAGAAAACATCCTCAAAGTCAAGTCGCAACTGCACCTCTTCAAGCAATGCAGCCTGGGTATTAACGGTTTTAAGAAAAAGGAAACAAACTTGCAAGACGTTTTCATCTTGCGAAGCAAGCCCATAGGGAAATTCATCTTGCGAAGCAACTCAAAAAACCAAAAACCCTTTCGTCTTGCGAGGCATTCGTCTTGCGAGGTACCACTGTATAGAAATGTCTAAATGGGCCATCTCTTTCACATTCCTGTTTGTACGATGCCCATAATGGCGTCTGTCCTTAAAATCTTTATAGACATAGATCCCATCAAAGCAGGGAATTTATATTTTTGAAGGAGAGTGAACATTTAAAAAATGTCCAGTGGTTTAGTGCAAGTGAAAAGTAGCCTGTTCAGCTGATCCTTCTATCCTCCTCCTCCACCTCTTTCTTGCCATCCTTGCATCCACTGAAAGCCTTCTCCAGAGGATTGGGGAGCCTCCGGAACAGGAGGGGGAGTCCTGTGGGGCTCCAGGGCCAAGAGGGAAATCACCCAGAATGGGGTAGAGGGATATTGCAGTTGCATAAATGTTATGAACACGACTTGCAATGCTTAAAATTCTTATTTCTTGTATGCTTTACTGTGGCGATCACACAGGGTCCCCGGACGTTTCACCGTCTATTGATCCCTGTGCCACCACTTTATTTCTCACTGCCACCACCCAGGCCCTACCTGGTACAATACTGAGTCCAGTCAGGTTTACATTGGAACATAAACTTCTGTTTATTTATTGCAGTTTAACAAGCGTGTGGTTTCATAAACGGTGTTGGTCAATTACAATCATAGGGTGCCTATTCAGACCTACAACTTCCGCTACCTGCTCTCACTCACTAAACCACCTCTCAGATATTTACTTGTCTTCCTAGCTCCTAACTGTTCCTGACTCAACTAATTTGGTACACTAACTCAACCTACCCACAGACTCTATCCCAATTCACTCCCACTCCAACCAACCACCCAACTCCCAACAAACTCCCCGTTCGCCCATCCCAGAGCTGGTTTTATAATCCCTCTGACTCCACTCCCCTGGGTTCTGATTGGGTAACTTGTTTAACTAATTCACCTCCAGCACTCTCATATGTTAACATCACAGTAACAACCAAACAACAACCCAAGGTCCAAAGGCTGAACAAGCATTAAATTACACACCTTGGTTGCATATAATTCATTGTAAACATTATGCTAGTTTGAGTTTCTGTGAGATTTCTTAAAGCACTGAATTATAGCTAGTTTGCAGCCCTATACCACTCATGGCATTAATATGGCCGTTGCATTTATTCTCGTTTCAGACTCCATCATACAACAGATACAGTCTTGCTGAAGATGCAAGCGAAAAGCAGGCAAAAGAAATTTTGATTCGTCGCCGACACAGCCTGAGGGAGACCGTGAAGAGGGGCAGCAGCTTGTCAAGACAGGTACCTGTATAACACAGAACCGTTGAATTGTAGAGTTGGAAGGGACCACGGGGGTCATCCAGTCTAGCCCCCTGCAATTTAGGACTCTTTTGCCCAACATGGAGTTCAAACCCATGAACCTGAGTTTAAGAGTCTCATGCTCTACCAACTGATCCATCAGAGTTTGCACAAGGGAGTTGAAAAAATAACGGCCCCATCACAACTCGCAGTGTAATATGTATTTTACACTCTTGCACTTGTCCCCAGGTACAAAATGTATCAGAAGCTGCCGTAATACTAATCATGCATATATTTCACTTTGCTTGTACAGAACACATTTCATGTTTCTTTCTGCAGGTGGCAGCCAAACCACCCCGTTATCTGTCACTGCCTAAAAACACTAAACTCCCCGAGAGAGTACGGAAAAGAAATCAATCTTCTTATAAAGGTAATACAGTTTCTGAGTAAAAAGAAGAGTGAATTTGGCTTTTGTTTCATTTTGTTAATGAAGTGGTTACCAGGAAAACAAGCAAATGTGCCAGAGAGGATCGTGGGTTATTTCCATACTTTCCAAGAGAACTGCTACTCCCTATGCAAATAGGTCCATTTCTTTCACTTGCCAAAAAGGTCTCTTGGTGATTTTTTGTGTATTGGTGCATGTGATTGCATGTATGCTTTGTGTATATAGTATGTTTGTATATACTCAAGGGGTAGCATGGTAGCCATTGGGATGGCAGCTGCTTACCTGCTCAGATGAGTGACCAACAGTGGCAAGGAGCAGCAACTGCTGCTGCCTGCATTCTATCTAGAGAAAAAGGGAGAGGAAGGAAGGAGTCACTAGCAGGGCAGTGCACCTAGCAGGAAGGGACGTTATCTGGCTAAAGCCCCAGCCCTGGAAAGGGGTATAATGGAGCCATATTTGCCTCTGCGGCACACCCCCATCCTTTAGGCCTTATATAGTAGATCTTATCTCCACAAAAACCTACCAAACTTGTTTGGCCAGGGACAAAAGTGGAAGATGGGATGAAGTGGCTCTATCACTGCACCTTTAATTTTCAGGGAGGGGGAAAGAAAACTTACTGTCCGCCTCTGACTTTATAGCCCTAGGCCTGGATCCAAAGCTACTTTAGACACACCCAAAGGCTTGAACATACAGTACCATTCTTGGCTTTCCTCCTTTGCGCTGTAGATTCCCAGCCATGAACTGCTTTGGAACGGCTCCATTGTTGCCAAAGCAGTCAGGGAGGTGCCTGCTTGTAGAACCACAAGCCCAAAGACCTGGGGTGTGAGGAGCTAGTTGTGTGATTCTTTGGATCTCAGCCATCGATTCACCACAATGTTGAGTTCCCAATAGCACTTCATTGTGTATTCACTTGTTCCTTCCATACCCTCTGCTTTAAACGGAACATCTCTTACTCAGCACACACACGTGAAGGAAAAATAATAAACAAATAAATTGTTATGTGAACATCAGGTTCAAGCAAATGGCAACAACTTTTGAATGGTTGCTGTGGTGACTAGGACACTTAGCCAGATTTTCATCAGATTCTTGCAACTGTGTCTAATGTCTTAGACTCTTAAGACCATGGGTAGGCAAACTAAGGCCTGGGGCCGGCCCATTCACCTTCTAAATCCGGCCTGCAGACGGTCTGGGAATCAGCGTGTTTTTACATGAGTAGAATGTGTGCTTTTATTTAAAATGCATCTCTGCATTATTTGTGGGGCATAGGAATTTGTTCATTATTTCCCCCCCCCAAAAAAAATATAGTCCTGCCCCCCACAAGGTCTGAGGGACAGTGGACCGCCCCCCTGCTGAAAAAGTTTGCTGACCCCTGCTTAAGACCTTGCTTGTTAGTTACATGCCGTCGCAAAACAGCTTTTTTCATCTCAAAAGTCTGTCCTAAGATGTCATGTTTTCTCTCTGGAACAAGAAAATAACGACAGTGTTGTTGTTTATCTGCCTGTTGTGATTTCCCAAGCTTCATCATTATCATCATCATTTATTTATTTTTATGCTGCCCATCTGACTGGGTTGCCCCAGCCACTCTAGGTGACTTCCAACAAATTAAAACATCAAACACAGTAAAACATCAAACACTAAAAACTTCCCTATACAATCATCACCACCCAATGTTTTCTTTGTTTTTTCTCAGACCTGAAGTTTGGCAATTCTTTTTCCGCACAATGCAGTTGCAGCACCAGCCTGTCCAGTGTGGGCAGGCAAATATAACATCTCAGGGCTTCTGTGCCTTTGATTTAATATCTCCTGTTTGCAGGTCTAACCTTGCAACTTCTCCTGCAGAGAATTCCTTACAGATAGCTTTGAAAATTATGTAACTCTTACTTAAAAGTAAATAAGCACTCAGTTCCAATGCACCATCCGTGTTTCCCAGACTTGGGTCTCCTGCTGCTGTTTTTGGACTATGATTCCCATCATCCCTGACCACTGGTCCTGCGAACTCTCACTTGAGAGGACACCAACAACTTTTCTGTCTGGATTTTCACGGTTTGAAATCTGGCAACCCTAGTATAGGCAGCTTTGGGTAGGTAAGCTTGTGCAATTTTCACTACAGAGCTGGGGAATAATGTGGTACGTGTCCCAAAGTTAAGTTGCGAGGGTGGTAAAAACCTCTGCAAAATGTCCTTCTCCCATCATTTTTCTGTACTGAGACTGACTGTGCCCTCATGTGGTAAGACTTGGTATTAGCAGTGGCAGCATGAACTTTCGTTTTCATTAGGAACCCCCTGCCCCCCGCTGCGGCAAACCTTAAATTCCAAATAAAAACTTGCTGGCAAGAAATGACAGTATAAGGAATAGCCAGTGCATTTGGCGATGGCAGGAAGCTGGACCATAGGTAATGAAATGCACCACAGTTTTAGGAAACTAGTAATACATTACACCTGGGCACTCTTCTTTGCATGATTAAATACATGATGTGTGGGGAAGGATAGTGGGAACTCACTTCGTTGCTACCCCCAATCTACATATGGGGGAGCAGACATGTGTAGGAGGGCACTTGCTTTATGCAAGTACAGTGGTACCTCAGGTTACAGACACTTCAAGTTGCAGACGCTTCAGGTTACAGTCTTCGCTAACCCAGAAATAATACCTTGGGTTAAGAACTTTGCTTCAGGATGAGAAAAGAAATTGTGTGGCGGTGGTGTGGTGGCAGTGGGAGGCCCCATTAGCTAAAGTGGTGCTTCAGGTTAAGAACAGTTTCAGGTTAAGAACGGACCTCCAGAATGAATTAAGTTCTTAACCTGAGGTACCACTGTATGATTTTCCCCTACCCCATGGCGTGGAACCATGATTGCACTTGAAAGCATAACTCTGCTCTCTCGATTCATATAATTGTTAACGGTGTTAGATTAACCCCCCAAATAGGGCCATCGTTACATCATGGTACTTTGCGTAGTGAAGCATTGGGCATGCTGAGATTTTGCTTTGCATATATTAATATATACTTTAATTTACAGTACCGGACGACAGCGATTCTGAATCTGATCAAAGCACAGTGCTGAATTTGAAATCCCAAGCAGGAAAAATTCTGAGAGACCAGAGGCTTCAACAGCAGCAGTGGAGGATGGAATGGAAAAATGAAACGGAGAGGAACAACAGAGAGACAGCAAGCCAGGGAAACAGAGGCTTCAGACAACCACTTTTGCCAAGGCCAGCATTTGGCGCACTGAACGAGGAAGAGTCAGCGGAAGATGAAGGACCCGCCAAACCACTCCCACCGCCTCGTTTAATCCGACAGGCTTCCAAAAGGCCTAGTGATAAATCCGAGAATAAACCATATTGAAAGCTGCTAAATGGAGCCATTAACAATGAACAGCAGTGGGAGGCACTTTAAACTGGACAGATGGAGCCATTTAAGTTCATGGGTACTGGTTGGGGATGGGAGGGAAAGAAATCATGTTATTTCACGACGTGAAAAAAACAAAAAACTCTTCACCTTCTGTGGAACCAAATAATGCAACTATTTTGTTTTATATTTTGTTTTTAAACTTCTGCGATGAAGATAAGTTTTATTAGTTACAGTACTTTTGAATGTAAATTGTGTTTTGTTTGCCAGTGGCAGGTTTGCAGTATAAGTTGCACTAAGAAATTGCACAATGCACTTCTTTTTAAAAGAATTCATCCTCAGAAAGCAATTCTAAGAGTGCCTGATGCACTGAAACACAATTAGGTGTTGCGAAACTGTGAAACTGAACAAATGCAAGAGATTAAGGCCGCAGTACAGCCTTTATCATTTTGCCCATGCAATATGGAAGTTGCTTCTGAAACCCAAATTCTAACACTATGTAAAGATGTAAATGGAAAAGCTTTTGTTTCTATTGCCATGCTTTTTACTGTAATAGAAAAGTGGTATGCATTGTCAGAAATGCCCCTCTACTTGATAATTCCAACAACTCTTTGGATTTAGTTGTTGAAACTTATCACTTGAAATATATTAATTTATATATATGCACTTTTCTGGAGCATTTTGTCATTTTTGTCTTAAACCTACAAACCTTGAACAAATAAGTAAATGAGCTCATGATTGGATAGTCACCTCAATACATTGTTTTCAGTCCAAAATTGTTTCGTTTATTGACTTCAAAATTGAATTTGATCCTCTCAGTAGGTTTTATGGATCTGGATTTTATTTCACGGAAAATACAGTTACATTTGCTTAATAAATGAAAAAGATCTATCTACAGAATGGCAAAGTGTGAAATGAGGCATAAATTGGATTGGGCTATGAAAAAATATGATTTTGACAAACATTTCCCAAGCAGTTCTAATAGCATAATACATCTTTATTTGGAGGTAAAATGGCTAGTTTCTTTCCTGGGTTTGTGCTGCAATGCTTTGAAAGCAGAACTGCCAAAGTAATGCCTAATCTCTAGTGCCATCTGTTGGAAGGTATAAAACACAACTTTCTTTTCAGTTTGCTCTCTACCAACACAGAATACTTCATGTTTATACAAAAATTATGACATCAGCTAACAGTGATTAAAAGCTCTGTGAGAAGAGTTGATCGTTTGGAGACACGGTCCTGTACATACTTACCTTGGAGTAAGCCCCACTGAAGATTGCAGAGTAATGTGGGTAGTTTATGCCTCGCATAACAAACTAATATTTGAGGAACTAGGCACCGTGACAAAGTGAGGAAGTCCAAACTCTATATAAAATGGAGATTCATCATTGGGCAATATACATGTAATGTAACTATTTATCATTTAGTACAAAAATGTTTGTGATTTATAACATGGCTAAACTACAAGGCTTGCCACCACCACAGGGCTCTCGACACAATCACCTCAAACAGCCTTAGGAGTGGTTGGTAATGGTGTGAAAACTCCAACTGATAATCCATATAGCAAGTTGTTCTACAAGTGCCCTTTTAAAATGTGGGGGGTTTTTTTTGGGGGGTGTTATTGGGTTGTTTTTATTTTGATTATATATTTTTGTGGTTTTATATTTTGATTTTGTTCTGTGCACTACTCTGAGACCTCCAGGTATAAGGCGGTATATAAATTCAATTATTAATTTTATTAATAGTGTAAACATTTCACAAGTGTAAATACTCAACACATGGAAGCTGTTTGGAACAGCCTCTGTGTGGGATGTGCAATTTATAGACCAGCAATTATTTTGGCTGGAATAATGAGCAAATAGAAAACAATAACTGAAGACAAGCAGAAAAGGCAGACATTCTTTTCCCTTTTATTTCCGGTTACCAAGATTGTTATGTAACTCCAAGAGCTCTTAACTTTCAAGAGAACAATGCAAAGCCATTGTAAACTGCCTTCAAACAAAGTACAATGCATCCCTGAGGGACTCTTTTTACGGATGTTCTTTGTCCCAAATGCTCTACAGATATGAAAAATGATTCCTAAATATTTATTCTGCTACATCATGTAAGTAGTTGTTTTCTGAGCTCGCAGTTTCAAAAGAAACTTTGCAGACCAGTTTTGAACTGTGAGCAGGTAAATGTTCATATGCACATTTCCCTAGGAATGAGCCTCTTCCTGGACGGCACTAAAGCAAGCAAAGGTTCCTAAGAACAGAATGCATTTACGCTTGGGCAGAGGTACTTAACCAGCTCCCAGCTCACCACCTCTTTGCTCTGATCCCCATCTCACCACAGCTACTCTCACATGCTTTGAAATTCTAGCCTTAAATTTTATGACAAATGCAACTGGACTTTCATTTGGAGGGTGTGGAGAGTAAAAGCGGAAGAGGTGCAACCTGGAGTGCAAAAGCAGCAAGCAGAAAAAATGTTCAACATCATCCCTTGCCAACTAGCTTTTCGGGATGGTGAGGCCATCAAGGTTCATTTCCTTGCTTTTGCGTGCAATATGTAGTTAGGCCCTAAATAAATACGCTTAGAATTGCAGCCTTAGTACAGATGACAATTCTATCTTGCCTGTTTTGTAAATGCATCACATTTTATTCTTATCTGTTTTATTAAATGAGTGCAGCCTACCAAGCGTTCTTGTTTTTGCTGCCTCCCTCAGATTGCAGTCTACAATATGCATTAATCTTAGTGGGACCAAGTTGTACAAGCCTGTGCCAGTGCCATTTTAACTAAAAAGCAGGCCATATTTCATTATATTTCAGCTGGAGTTGATTGGACAATTGTTTCTATTTCAAGCAGCTGACCAAAGATGGATGAATACAAAACAGGGACATCACTATCTATATATTTTTGAAGCAAGCTCCATCTACTTGTTTTCAAAAAGGCATACCGTTAGTTTAAGGTTTGTGGCTCTTGAGGTTTGAGTTACATGTAATACAGATTCCAGCTTCAATGCTCTCATGTTACAGCACATTATTACACTTGGTACGAAACCAATGCTCCTGACAAACCTGACCAGGTAATTCCTCCAAGCCCCCAAACTCAACAACAAAATTGCCGCCAAGCAAGTTAAAACTCTCTTTTAAATATGTGGCCGCCGTCACAAGCCTCCTTTAAGGATGTCTGCTGCAGAGAGCAGCCTTTCCCCATTCCTGTACTATTTCAAGTATAAAGGAAACATGCATTCCTTGAAACACAACACTTCGGTAAACCACAATAAAGAGGAACCGACTTGCTTAGGATGTCCTGTAGCAAAGGAGGAGGTAGGAAACTCCTTGAAAACCCCCAATATGGACTCTTCCTGCTTTTGAGTCTTTGCTGCAGCTTTGCTGATGACCCTGAGTGGTAGTATTCTTCTCAAGTCGAAAGCACATTTGTCATTAAGGTCCCCTTCCCCAGTAAGTGTTCAGTGTTAGAATTGTTTCAAACCAAGATGGCACAACTAGTAGAACACCACCTTTAATAATTGCATGTTAACTAAAGATTCATTCCTCTGCAAACATATACAAGGACCACAGCCCTGCAGAAAGTCCAGACCTTGCCCTGCATCTTTTGGCAACGATGTGTGAGGCTTGAAGGAAGTCTGCCCCACATTTTGAGATCTAACTGGACCACAGCAGAAATGGATAACACCTCTTCCATTCTCCTTTTTTCTTTTGGAATGACACCAGATACCTGGAGTCAGGCTCTAGTCCTATTGTCATACTTGTTTTTAAAAAACCTACACCAGGATTTTAATCACAATTTTAAATTATTTGAATAGATGTAATGTTCAGCAACTTTCCCTTTGCACTACAACCAGCAAGATTTCTTATTAGCTGTGTGAATTAACGCCTCTTCACCAGCCTCAAATTTACCTGTTAAGTTTACTGGTCAGGATGAAATATAAGGGAACTGTTCTTTCCTTGACGCTATAGTGTTTCGTTATAAAGCGTCCCAACAACAGTCCTCCTGAACCCTTAACATTTTCATTTCTCTCAGTTGTGTTGCTTTTTTTAAGTAGCAGCACTAACAGCTTATCTCATTTTAACTCTGGCGCCCCTGATGACTGTGTATCGTGATTTGTTGAGGACCATGATGAGAACAGCTATAAATCCCAACAGGCCCCCGAGAATGGGGGGCCCACAAGGGCTGAACTCCTGGGCGATTCCTGACAGAAGAGGGGAAAGTATGCGGCCGATGGCCGAGACCGACTGACCGACACCTATGAGCATACCACTGGCGTGGTTCCCCCCCAAAGTCAGCTCGAGATCAGTAATGCAAGTACGTCCGATGGTGGTCGAAAATGCTAAAAAGGTGGAGGACAGGACCACCGCCCATACGTTCTTCGAGAGAGAATATATCATCGTGAGCACGCAGGTGAAGATGGTGGACCGCAGTAAGATGGCGTAGGTATTGTGCTTATATAGTCTTGTAATTGGTCCGAGCAGAAAGCCAGCAGCCACTCCAAGCGCGCTGCTGTAGCTTATGAGGTAACCGGTGAGTTTAGGTTTGATCCCAAACCTCTCTTCAAGTGCCAAGACAAAATTGCTATGGTAAAGCATGACTGCGATCGACATCAGTAGCCGTACCAAGAAGACGTCCCGCAGATCGGAACGGGTAATGCTGCGAATCCTCTTCAACACAGAGACAATCTGAGCCCAAGAGGTCTGGGGGTGTGTACTGTTCCTTGTGGCTTCGCGAGATAGAGGGTCCTTCTGCACGCTGAGCTTTGCCACTGGTAAGGGACTGCCTTTTACTGGGTTAATAATGCTCCAGTCGTTACCATGCTTTTTCTTTTCGAGCCATAGCAGAATCCAGAAAAGACCTGCAAAGGAAATTGAGACACCTTTACAAATCAAGGCTGTGCTGCCCGTTTTCTGGAAATAACCTAGTAACCATCAAAATGTATTACACAGGCCCAACGTAAGATGGAGCCAAACTTTGGGGGCAAAGCAAAGAAACTGTTGTGGCAACATATGCATGCCAGAACCAAGCGCACACTGCTATCTTTTATATTGGAAATAAATAAATAAAACGTCCAGGAGCACCTTAGAGACCAACTAAGTTTGTTCTGGGTATAAGCTTCTGTGTGCATGCACACTTCTTCAGATTTATACCCAGAACAAACTTAGTTGGTCTCTAAGGTGCTACTGGACAATTTTTTAATTTATTTCGACTGCGTCAGACCAACACGGCTGCCTACCTGAATCTATTACATTGGCTACAACAGAATGCTGCCTATGGAGATCTGACAATTACTTGTAGGGCAAATGGATGTCACCTGGCCAAAATGGCCCAGGGGCCAAATGGGGAAGGTCTGTGAACAGTAGGTTCCCCATCCGTAATTGATGCAACTATTGCAGTTGGTCAATAAATATACAAAAGACTGATAACAATAACAACATTTATGTTGTAAAAGGTGGGGCATCAAGAGAAAAAATATCAAGCAACATACCAGCATTCAAGATGAAGATGGAAGCACAGATGAAAGCTGTGATATAAAAGCCACCCTCGAGCTCTGTAAGGTAGCCTCCAACAACAGGCCCCAGAATGAAACCAATACTGGCAGCAGCGTTGAAATGTCCTATTACTCGGAGTCGGTCCTTCTCAGAAACCAAGTCAGAGATGAGAACTTTGGAAACTGAGTGTGTGTGTTTGAAAATACCTAGAAACGAACGAGAAATGTGTTTAGAGAAGAAATTTACTTAGAGAAATGTGTTTAGAGAAGAAATTTACTTAGAGAAGTGCAGATCCCAAACTGTCAAACCCATGTCATAAAGGCAGCAGAGAAGCAAAGAAAAGTTGAAAATGCAATTAAAATTTCTTTTCAATTTCTAGCTTGGGCTAGTCACACTTTTCTGAAGTCTCTCAGCCTCACTCACCTCATAGAGTGTTTGTTGTCGGGGAGGAAGGGAAAAGGAGACTGTTAGCCACTTTGAGACTCCTTCGGATAGTGATAAAGCAGAATATAAAATACAAACTCCTTCCTCCCCAGAAGTGACTAATTGTGTGCTCATTTTAAAGTTGGGCATTAGTGTTATGAGAAGAAAATCATACAGATACTTAAGATGTACTTTTTGCAACTGACTGCTGTTTCTGTTCTTGTTTAGAGATTTCCTATACCTTTAGCAAACAGCCAGCGGGAGATACTTTGCAATGTTGCTAGCTTTACTACAAGGCTGGAGGACAAGATGCTCCCACTTTGCTAACCAATGACGCCATAATAAAATTAAAAGGTTGCATTTTGGGAACTTTTGACTGTGGCAACAACAACAACAAATGTAAGCTACCCTAGGAAGGTTTTTTTGAAGGATAAAGCTATCCTAAAAGTAAGAACAGCCCTACACTGAATAATTCTATCACTCATAGCAAGAATGGGCATACCATGGCCCTCGTTTCAAATCTTGTCCCCTTAATTAAAATGGGAGAAATATAGCTTTCCCACTGGGGAAAAATGGTATTAACTGGCTCTATTACATATAATGCATTTAACTCTTCAGAATTTGTGCTTCTCAGAAGTAAGAGGAATGAACTATGCTATGATTATCCACTACTGATTGAAAGATGAACTGAGCTCGGGTATGAATAGCCAAGCAGCTACTTACCCACAAAAATCCGGGCAACAGCAAATAAAACCACATTGCTGGAGACACTAAGCATAAAATAACCCAATGCGCTGAAGATAATGCAGACAAGTAGGCAATAAGGTCTTCCCACCACATCACTCCAGGATCCCTGGATAATACAGAAGGAGCCTGTTCAAATCAACACAGCTGCCTACTTCCTATTTCCATGGAATTATAAATAACATTAATTGAAGGGGTGGGGTTGTTGCTCAACCCTTTTCATTAATGCGTTCTGATAATAATTTCACTCTCTTAACATAGTGTGACAATAACAGTTAAGCTAAATAAAGAAGTTGATATTTTAGATAGATAGTGGCACTGACTGGTACTGAACACGGGTATGATTACAAACGTAAAAATGTGTTTTGTGATATCTGGTTTGAACAAGCAATTTTTGCTTGGGTTGGTGTTGGAGCTATAGAAAAGGAGGGGGAGACATAAACATTTGGTTATAGGCTGGGATTAAGGGGGGGGGAGGAAGAACCTAAATGCCACCATTTAGGGACCCCATCCTGTAAAAGCTAAAGAACCGCATGGCATTTCCCTGATGTATTAGATAATTTTCTAGAACTGCAGTAACAACAATAAATAAGTAAAGTCCAGCTACAGAAAGGGCAGCTTCTTATTTTGAAGTACATGCGGAAATTTCAAAATTAATCTGAAGTAATGGTTTAATTACTCTGTTGTCTCCAAAAATAAAGGCAGCCCAAGAGGCTACCTATAATGCACAACAAATTGCTTTTGAAATTGAGGAGTTTCAAATACAGTTTGCCATATGGTGGTCATTTGTTGAACAACAATGGAAGCTCCCCTACGTTTGTTTAGCAGACAGGGGTCCACTGTCCCTCAGACCTTATCAGGGTCTGGAATATATTTTGGAAAAAGAAAATGAATGAATTCCTATGCCCCACAAATAACCCAGAGATGCATTTAGAATAAAAGGACACATTCTACTCATGTAAAAACACGCTGATTCTCGGACCGTCTGCAGGCCGGATTTAGAAGGCGATTCGCTGGATCCGGCCCCCCAGCCTTAGTTTGCCTACCCATGGAGCTCTTAGATGCCAGCTCTGTCACTATTCATCCCACTCAAAAAGTATACTTTTAATTCGACCAGTTTTTATCACATCACTTCCACAGCATATGTATGTATTTTTGCACTAACCTTATGGGACAGGCTCAGCTGAGAGATACTGACTTACTCACAGCGACCCAATAAGCTAAAGAGTTCAACAAAGGATTAAAATTTGAATTAAAAATGGTGACCAAACTTACCACTAAGGTACTGGAAATGAGCTGCAGAACGCCATATAAAGATCCTAAAAGTGAAGGAACAATTTTTAAAATCAGAGTAGAATTATAGTTTTGTAGACTTTCTTTTTTAAAGAAACCTTTATGTATGCAATTCTAACTTTTATTTATGCAATTTACCAGATTTTATACACACATCATACGTTAGGCACCACATCTCTTTTCCTAAGACCTCCCAATCCATCTCTGTGTCATTCTAGGGAAATCTGGATCTGAGGCATATCCTGATATTTCACCCATTATCATCTAAAGTCTTCCTTTTTTATGTTATCTGCTGCTCATATGTTAACTCGTACTTGTAAGTTGAATTGCATATTGTACCCTCTAAGATAATCTCCAAAACACCTCCACTCTTCTCCTTAACTCATCCTTATTCCTTAGTTTCCTGGTCATGATTACTAGTTCTATGTGTTCTATCAATTTGTTCCTTTGTGGGTATCTCTTCTCCCGCCCCCCCCATTTGTTTGCATATATGATTCTAGCCGGTGCGGTTGCGTACAAAAAGATATTGAGTGCCTTTTGAAGATTTTCAATGAAGGGGGAAAATATATCCTGACTTGTTCCAGCTGCAAACTTTGACTCACTGACATTTCCAGCTAGGTAATTAAAATATTTTCTGCAATACTTGGGGTTTGATGCCAGACAAATCTGTGTGGGGTTGCCTTCCCACAAATTCGTGTGGGAAGCTTGAACCCACTGCTTGAGCCCAATGGAACTCTGCAGCCGTGGAACATTGAACCAATCAGGAACATTCTATGAACCAATGCCATTTTAACACACCTTTCCTAACATGGTGCCCATCAGATTTAGAGACAGCAACTCCCATTAACTAACATGGACAAGGGCCAGGGTTGATGAGAGTTGCAGTTCAACAACACCTGGAGGGCCACAACTTATCTGCTCTTGATTCAGACATGGTCAGCAGATGGCAGCTGATCTTAAGAGGCCATGACAGGATGCAGTTTGTACTGGGCAAGTGCAGTGCATAGTTACATATACCAAAGGCCAGAATTGTGCACAGCAAAACTTTCAGAAATAGCATGTTTCTGAATTGTACTAAAATAAACACTTCCAGATATATTGTTTTTGTTTGAATTTGCAACAATTTGGAAAAAGGTCATTGAAGCGTATCACCTGTGTACTAGCAACAAGGAACTGCATGAAGGCATGGAATTCCACTAATGTGAGTGAGCAAATTGGTGGAGAAGGGATGGAGCAAACGTAGCACAAAACCAAGAATCACAAGAAAAAGGAAGTCCCCCTTCTCTATATGCAGCATACAAATCAGCAGGCTGCTGCAGGCTGGTAACTTTTGTAGGTTTATTTATGAGACAAGTTCAATTTGGATCAGAGTTCTCTTTGGTGGCAATGCAATGGAATGGTATAGTAGACTGGAGGTTCTACAGTAAAGTAAGAACTCATTGGCATGTATTTGAAGACAATAAAGGCAAACCACTGACATTCTTACTGTGTAATTAAGTGATATAATGTGTTGAGTCCTTAGTTATAAACTCAGGGTTTGATTTGGGGGTCTCCTGATGCTGACATGCATAAAGCAGTTTGGAATAAGTTCAATTTGACTTGCACATGGGAATATAAATAGTGTGAAAACAGTGGTGAGAAAGAAAAAAAGAAACCGTCTGCAATAAGTTAGAGCACAGGTACATCAGTGCAAATTACTGGAATAGGTTCAGGAGAAAAAGAAGCATTTCTTCACATAAAACATACGAATTTCACTATCATAAGCTGTGGTGATGGCCATCAACTAAGCATACTCAAGCTGCAGTTCTAAGGAAGGGGAGGCAAGCCCCAGAGATTGACTGCCTTAGACAAAGCTCTCATCAGAGCTCTTATCAGCAGAGTGGAAACAAAGGCAGAGGAGCACTTTTGCATTCTCCTGCGCTTTTTCTGGTTTGTTTGTTTTTTAAACCAACCAACCAAGCATTTCCCTCCCACTGGAAACTGTAGAAAATTCAAAGAGTTTTCTAAATATCTCCCCAGTTTGGGAACATCCTGGGTTGCTAATATGGTTTGGATCCAGGCCAATTCCTGGTCTTGCCCAACATGGCCCCCAAACTGTTTCCAATTCGCCCCCCACCTGCCTACCAATGCCAGAGCTCTGGTGGTAGTTAGATGTTTCCACAAAAGGGAGGATCCAAGACTGGCTCTGAAGTTACGAGATGGAGCTCTGAGATATTATATGACTCCTGGCATGTTCTCTGTAGGATTCTTCCTTACAGATTTAATATCTAAACAGCAGTTGTAGTGGATTTCCCCCCTATGGTATAATTAAGCCCAGCTTCTTCCTGCCTTACTAGTAACGTAATGCAAAATGTAAATGACAACTGGTTTAGTCATTAGACTTTCTGTTTCCTTTATGATAATCACAAAGGGTGATATCCAACTATGTAATGCTCGGAGAAGACCCAGTGAAATAAAGGGACTTGCCCACGTGACTTTAGTGTGTGGGCAGCTGGTATGGGAGGGAAGGTATTCCTTCAAATACTTAGGTCCCAACCTATTTAGGGCTTTAAAAAGAAGCACCAGCACTTTAAATTGGGCCCATAAAGTCAATACACAGCCAGAGAAGTTCTATGGTTGGCAAGATATGATGCAAACAATCAAAACTCTGGTCAGCACAACCTGCACTAAATGAAGTTTCAGAACCATTTTCATAGAGAACACAGTGTATAATGCTTTGCAGTACTTCAGGTGGGATGTAACAAGCGTATGGGTAACTATGGCCAGACTATCTCCGTCCAGAAGTCTCAGCTGGACACACCAACCCAAACTGCTGAAAGGCGCTCTGTGCTAAAGGCTTTCAAGTAAGTCAGTTGTTCAAGAGCCAGCCTTGTGATGTCACAGACAGACTTTCAAGAAAAGGCCCTCACAGCTGGCTGCTTAGCAGGGTATAGGGAAGTCTTTCATCTTCTATCTCGAGGTCCATTAACAACTGTTGCTAACTTAAATGACAACTTGCACATTTTTATACCGGAGGCTTCTGATTGAGACCCTGCTGCTTCGGACTGGCTGGTTTCCACAGCCTTTCGCTGAAAAGGAAGGCACACTTCCTCCAATTGCTTAAAAGGTTTGATGACGTGCTCACCTACCACTCCTGCAACTGTTGGGCTTGCTCCTATAGACTTGATGTGAAGGCTTAATAAGGGGACAATCATGCTGACACCAAAGAAATCCTGGAAACAGACAACACAGATTTTCAGCGACTTAAGCATATATATACCCAGGCCAGTTATGCACTGTGATGTACAGTTATGTATTGTCACTGTAATTTCACAGCAACTTTTGCACAACACAGGAACCTATAATGTTGTGTAATCACTTGCTTTTGCTTCACGTTCTATTGTTGCATCCCAAGGAAAGGACCTGTCCCGGTAATATAAAACAAATATGACTACACTTGCTTATAAAACTCCCATTTAAGGAATACTTCTGGACTATGGGGGTGGGGAGGGTGTGCGAATTATGTGGCATGCTTGCTGAATGTAGTGTGTACACCTAATGGTGTACGCCATTAGGATTTTAGGCCTGAAGGAACTCTTCAAGATAGCATTGTGCATCATTTCACTTACAGGTGTGATAAACTAGCCCTACTGCATCTGAGGGCATGGGGCTGTCCTGCTCATTCTGCAGTGGCATGGTCCTGGACACGTGCCCCCCAAATCATCCCTGGTGGTACCACTGTACCATTTGATTAATTTTCAATTGCAATCCAATAACAGTCTCGTTATAACAACACCAAATTATAATACAATTACTAATACCAATCATTCAAATGCCGAATTATATAACTTAGGTGCCCCCCTACCCTGCATGCTAGATTTGATGGTTTGGTGACTTTTCTTTATTCCTGTGTTCCAAACGGCTGTGTACATTTGGTGCTTATGGCCATAGCTGTCAACCTTCCCTTTTTTTGCGGGAAATTCCCTTATTCCAGCGCCCTTTCCCGCTGCTATCCCGGATTGTTAGATATCCCATAAACTGTCCCCGGGACAGGTGAGGCTGCTAATCCCTTATTTTCAAATCTGAAAGTTGACAGCTATGCTTATGGCATGTGCGCATGCACACGAAAGCTCATACCAATAACAAACTTAGTTGGTCTCTAAGGTGCTACTTGAAGGAATTTTATTTTTTATTTTGTTCCTAAAACGTTGTCATTCCTAGCCAGCAGGGCCAGTGGTCAGGGACGATGCGGGAAACTAGTCCAAAAGCAGGCGGGAGACCCAAGTTTGGGGAAGAAAATACTGCTTTTTTAGTGGCAGGCTTTATAGCTGGCGAGGAGCCAGCGGTGCAGTGCGCGCGCGCGCCTCTGAACATGTGCAGAGTGCATTCTCCTCGGGAGGCACGAGTTCAAGAGGGGTGGTTTTTTTCTGAGAGAGACGTCTCTCCTCTCTCCCCGACCCCCTCAGGGGGCTTCGCCTGCCGGCCCCGGGGTCTCCCCCGGCCTCCTTGCCCGCCGAGGCCCAGCTCACCAGGAAGCCCACGGCGTAGAGGCAGAGGACGAAGCGGCTGGGCCAGGCGACCCCTCCGTCGCCGCGCAAGGACGACGTCGACGGCACCGAGGGCAACCGCAGCGGCGTCGCCGCCACTACCACCTCCTCTTCGGCCGACTCCGCCTCCGTCTCGGCCCCCCGCGCGTCGAAGGGGCCGCCCAGCAGCGCCGGCGGCACCCGGTCCCTGCCGCGCCTCCCATTCGCCATGCGAGGGCGGAGGAGCCGCGGCGACCAGGAAACGGGGAGACACAACCGGCGCAGCGGCCGGGAGAACAGCGGGGAGGCTCCGCCGGGGAGCGGCAGCCGCTCCGCCCCGCCCCCGGAAGGCGGGGCCTAAGAGAGGTTCCGCGCCTGCGCAGCGCCGGCTCGGCGTTCTGAGGGGAATCGTCATTCGCTTGTGAGGAGAGGGAAGGAGAGGATGGGCGGGGCATATAGGCTCGTCAGGGTTTTTTGCCGAACTTGGGTCGCATAACCTCCCATCAATCCCGACTACAGGTCCTGCTAGCTAAAGGGACGATGGGAGTTGTAGTCCGGTGTTGCCTCAAACTTGGAGCTGCCGTCGTCGTCGGCTTACAACTCCCATCGTCCCTGACCTGGTCGCTAGGGATGATGGGAGTTGTAGTCTCTGGAGAACCCCACGCTGGGCTAAATAAGCTTCATTTCAGCAAGAGGTTGGACTCGGTGACTCTCGTCATATCTCCCAGCGCTAAAGTTCTGTGACAGAAATACTTTCCCCTTCACCCTTTTGTAAAATAAAAATAAAAAAAACCTCTCTCACAGCTTTGTGACATTTCGGCTGGATGACCTAATAAAGTTGGCTTTGGAGTGTTTTGTCAAGTCCATTATCCTGATTTTTGATTAAAGAAAAAGGGTGTATTTATCCTCATGGATTATATATCAAACTGCAAGATTTTTAGTGGGGGCAATTAGAATAAGATCTATTATTTGATTGTGGATGTAAAACCCCAAAATGTATATTCTGTAGTTAAGTTTTTACCTCTGTATTCAGTACATTTTATTTTATTTTATTGCTGATGCAAATAAAGATTCTTAGGATTCTGATTCAAACTGTAATCAAAGAAGAACCCCTTGTTCTTCTGGGTGGTAATAGCAATGTGTTAAGGAATGTGGTTGGTATGCATAGGTGTACCACCAGTCTTAAGGACTAAGCAAATGTGGCTTAAGTTTCCTAGTTGGATTGAAGCTTGTTTGGCTCATCGTTCTTATATTGCCCTATCTTTGCTGAACAGCAACACACAGTCATAGTTCTCTTTCTAGGCATGACCTCTTGACATTACTGGTTCCTTTTCTGAAGCTTGACTCTGTCACGAGCTCACTCTATACATTTTTTTTAGAAAGCACATTTAAAGTGCCCACTAGCAAATAACCCTAGCAATTGTTGTTTACTCTGCACAGAGCTACAGTTCTCAGCACCCTTAACAAATCCCAGTTCCCAGGATTCTTTGCAGTGGGGGTGGACTGGCTTTAAATGCATGGCGTTTAGGCAGCCTGGGCAATTGCAATCTAAGGATCAATCTGGACCGGTGCCGGATTTATGTATAAGCTAAACACTCTCTTGGGGCCCCCAAAAAAATTAAAGAAAAAAACCCCCTGGATGTACATTTCCAAAATATAAGATTAAAAAACAAATAAAATAAAACCTATATACAGCAACAGTGTTTTGTGTTGTGCAGGCTCCTATTTGTTATGTGCAAATGGCTTTAGATACCTATTAGGTCCATAAATTACCATATAGCATATATTCAACACAAAAAAACAGTGACAATTTGTTGTTGACAAAGGACACCTGGACATATAAAGGGCTCCATTCCCTTCAGTAGCTTAGGTCCTCATCAAACCTAAATCCTGTCCTGACTGGATGCCGAGCAAAGCGGTATTGTGAACATATCCTCAGTCTGGATCCAATTTATGATGTTCAGTTGAGCTTTCTTCAACATAAGCCTGCATATAGGATTGCAACGGAAAGATAGGCACAATATGCCAGATCGAACCCCAGGAAACACAAAGTGTGTGTATGGTTAACCAAACATATATTTGGCCCAGTAACTTCTCCATTAAGAAAAAAAATCTGAATCTTAAAAGATTTTATCTTTATCAGGGGAGTGAATAATTGTTTCCATAAGGCTGGAGGCCATGGCTGTAAAGGCTACAATTTATTTCTTACAACGAAACACCAGGGCTTAATTTTAGTGTAAGAGATGCCACTGCGAGATTTCCCACAAAGATTCATGAGGTGGGCAGTGTTTATTTTGTTAGTTCCATAAGCAAAACGTATGAAACAGCGACCTCTGAAACTGAATTGCACAGTTTTCGAAGAATGGAATTCTAAAAGTTTTACAAAATGGCCAGGACGTGGGCGCTAGGTAGAGAGTAACTGTGGTGGACATTGTAGGAAAGTCATAGGAAGTTGTTTTGGTGCCCCCCCCCCAAGTTTATTGCAATTGTACGTTCCGTTTCCTAAAAGGTCTAAACTTTCACAAAGGAGAAAAAACCCTTGCCATCACTTCCACTGATTCAGGGATACTGAATATGCCTGAAATTCTCTTATTTAGATGTTCAATATATATATTTATTTATAACAAAGCAGTTAACACATGTGGACCTTAGAGAGGTTTAAACCTGAGGCATAGTTTTGACGTAAAATAGAAAAAGGAGTCTGAAATGTGGCTAAAAAGCTGTACGTCTTTCTCCTTTTTATCAGGGATCAACTATCATGGTGCTCAGAAACCTTTGCATCCACAAAGGTCTTCAGTAGCACCTCTCTACTGTTTCCCTTCTGAAATTTGGCCTGAAGGAAGCACAGCATTGCCACTAATGGAATAGCTTGTCGGGCATGCATGTTTGCCAATGACTGCTTCTCCTTTTTTTTTTTGCAAATGCACCAAGTCTACTGGTGCTGGTTCTGCTGCTATGAAGTAGACTTTAGCTATGGGTTTTGGATCAAGGCATAAAATTTCCTTTTTTGGGGGGTGGGTGGGGGGTGGGTGGAGCAAGAGGTTGCTATAGATTGTCACTTAAAAAATATATCAATTTATTGAACATAATTATTGCAAAAGATAAGCAAAATATTGCAAATGCATATATACATACCGAAATACATACATACATACATACATACATATTTCAGATAAGCACACATATATAAAAAAAGAACAAATGAGAAAAAAGAAAAGAAAAAATAGAAAAAAGAAGAAGAAAAGTTGGAAGAATTTCTTCCAAATTTATTCTACAAATATCTCAATATGAAAATATTAATAAAATTTCATTGATTGACTTCCATCGCTTACACTGCACTTCCTATATACATTTTAAGCAAGATTGTATCTGTTATTCCGTATTTTCCCCATACAATCTCACACAAATATTCTAATCAATAAGTTTTCTAAATCTATTCTAAATTGTCACTTTTAACACGTCAAGAAAGCTTTGTAACAACGCCTGATATTTGTGTGGGTGTGCTCGTCGATCAATGAGGCCCAAGCTTTCGGTGTAGCATGTATGTTCCTGGGTCTCGTCTTGGCTCTGTGCTTTTGTGTGCTTGTCTGCGATGGAGGCTGAGCCAATTCCTTGCCTGCTTATGGGAGGTAGATACATTGATTACATGGCGTACATGCTTGCTGGAGTTGAAACTCAAACCTGCGCCGAGTAACAAGGGCACGCAGTAACTTCATCCCTCTTCCAGGTCTGTTGATGCACCAAGTGCCACAATATTTCCAGTCAATACCCAGCTAAGGGAAGGTCAGCTATTTTGGGCTGGCCACTCCTAGCGAAGGGAAAGCCTGTCAAGTTCCTTCTTCCATGGAGTGTCCTAAAATAGAAGTCCTGTCTATTCGTTAGGCTGCACTTTAATGGAGCACTAATCAAACCACAGCACAAGTGGGAAACCCATTGAGAAAGATTTTTTTAAAAAAACCCAACTTCTTTCAAGACTTCAATACTTTCGGAAGAACTTCTGGTCCGGCAGTTTAATCCTTGATGCGCTGTTTTTCGGGGGAGGTTTTTCTTTCTCACTAAAAGTATATTATAAATCTTTCACATCCGTTTTGAAAAGAACAACAAACAAAACAAACAAACAAATCAGCAATGAAATTGAGAGTCGGGATATTTTTTGGAGGCTTATTTGGAGCTCTTGGAATCTTGTTCTTTTTGGTTGCCTTTGGAACGGACTATTGGCTTCTTGCTACAGAGGTTGGAAGGTGTTCAGAAGGCATGAATGACACCAGGGTTAGTATATATTTTTATTCCTCTGAATGGCATCTTGCACTAGGACCACAAAGGTGATTGCTTCTTTCTCACCAGAAATATCTCTTACAAATGAGGAACACTCTGTATAGGTTACTGTGAGCCTCATCTAAATCCTATTAACATCCAGGAGATGATATTATGTGATTCTCATCTTGGTCAGTTACATTCAGAACCAGCAGAGATATTAACCCCCCCTCCCCATAATTTTGTAGGCTTCTTCAGAAACCTTTATTAACATTTCCCCCTATTTCTTACTTGCCTGTATGTGTCTATATTTGCACAGGGAGTAGAGCTCCACTTGGTGAATAGCAATTTACATGTTTCTTTTATACAGGAAGAGAGAGTAACTTTCCACCATGAGGGTTTTTTCTGGAGGTGCTGGTTTGATGGGAATGTCGAAGAGAATGCCCACAGTATGTTAAAGTTTTGGTACAGTAAGTATCCCCCCCTTTTTTGGCAATATAATTTTACTTAGAATTGGTGCTTTTATTTAAAGTATGTCTACATTTCCCAAAAGAGCACTATTTGTATAATGCCCTGGTTCTTAAAGTGGTGGTCATCATGGATGTTTGCTCACACATCAGGAGTGACAATGCTGTGATGTTTCGCATGGTGCAATTCTGCAAATGCTTGTACAAGTACATTATTCAAATGTGTTTGCAACAGTTCGTACAAGAGTTCACACACTGTTGCATTTGTCAACAGCCAGGATAGATGGGGCTGATGAGAATTGTAGTCCAAAATCCCACAGAGTCTTTTCTGCTGGGGATAATTCAGACTGAAATTCCCAGGTGTCAAAAAAAGGTTATTTATGTATGCCACGACTGCGGTCCGTGTTTTGTTATCCCCCAAATGGCAAATGGGTGAGGTCCCAACCAAAGAAAATGGCAACCTAAGTTGACAGAATACGCGCAGCTTGCAGACTTAACGTATAGAATAAGAGAACGAGAAGAACATACATTTATATTATTGAATATATGGGAAATAACCGTGTGCAGCTGAAAACGCTGGCAGCATTAAGATAAATGCAACAGTGTAAATAAGTTTTGATGTATGTAATAATGGAATACTGAATAGTATAGTTTTTGTAAAATATGCAGGGATTTATGATATGTAAAATGAACCATGGAAAGAGAAGAAGGGAAGTCTTTGATATTTTAAGGATGTAAAAATGAATACTTTAAATTGTAAAAGAGAATATATATATCAGTAACAAGAAGCCGGCTTCTTGTTACTTGTTCCAGTAACAAGAAGCCGAAAGCACCAGCCTGAAGATGACGAGTGAGACCTCGTCGAAACGTCGCCTAGACACCCCAACTTTTACACGGGAAGACACCCGAGGACACCAAAACCTGCATATATATATATATATATATATATATATATATATATGAATTGTAGTCCGAAATATATGGAGGGCACCAGGTTGGCAAAAGCTCTTGCACTAGGTTTTACGTCATTTTGGATGCCACTGCTTGTTCAAGAGGTTGAACAGGTAGGAGAATATACTTGGATTTGGGTTTACTTTCCTCATGCACCACTCTAGCACAAGATATATTAGATTTATATTCCAAACCTACAGGCAGGCAGGCAGGGTCTTTTTTTTTAGTTTGTACTGCACCTCATTATCCTGGGAGCTTTAAAAACAACGAATCATAATGAAAAACAGGCGGCATGCAGAACAGGACAGATTAAATGATGGCATATGAGCTGCTTGCAGTGCTTGAGAAGCTCAAGTATGATAGCTATTAATTATTTTATTGAAATATGCATGACCTTCCTTTCAATATAATGCACAAGAACTCTTTGCAATAATTTAGAACCATACAATCAGTAAACAGTAGCAATACTTTAGCCAAACAACAAAACTCAAGAACAGCCACTTAGTGCAAGTGTAGCCAATATGAAATAATAATCTGGGTCTTTTGAAAAAAATGTTTTGAATTTTTTTTAATGTTTTAAATGTTTTAAACAAAGCAAAACATTTGTTTGTATTGCTTTGCAGTTTTGTTGTTTGCCACACTAAGCCCATTTGGGAAGAAGAGCAGGATAGAAATTAAATAAAGAGGTAGATAAAGGAATATTGTGTCCTCCAGCTCTCATAATCTCTGCCCATTAGTTGAGGTTAATGGGAGTTGAGGCTTAAAATATCTGGATAACACCCCACTGACTACAGTGGTACCATGGTTTTCGAACATAATCTGTTCCGGAAGACTGTTCAAGTTCCGAAACGTTCGAAAACTGGAAATTAAAAATGGAAGCCTCAAAGTGGAAATCTCAATACGGAAGCTGTGTTTCCGGTTCGACTTCTGAGGCACATTCGAAAACTGAAGCATTTACTTCCGGGTTTATGGTGTTCGAGTTCCGAAACGTTAGTCAACGGAGACGTTTGAAAACCGAGGTACCACTGTACCCCATTCTTACTCAATGTATGCACTTTAAGGCACATTATATAACAAAAGCCTTCTTAATAAAACAGCAACAAAACATCAGTATCAGTCACAATAGCTAGAAAGCTAGGTACTGATATAAATAGTTCGGAAAAGCTGGAAAAGAGGCATGTTTTGAATTGTAAGCAAAAGCATCCAACATCTGTTGCCTGCCCGATGTCCATCGGAGCTTGTTGCACCATGGATAAATCCCTTCTGTGTATCACTGTAAAGATAGACATGTCTAGGCAATGGTATGTCTAATGGCTTGCTCTGCAGATTCCAATAAATGCACGACACTAGTTTTAATGTGTGCGGTTGCTGTTTTTCAGCAAACCAGTCGCCTACGAAAAACTGCACCCATGCCTATCTTTCTCCGTTCCCTTTCTTCCGAGATGAGCACAATTCAACGGCCTACAACTCGGCAATTAGTAAGTATTTTCCTGTTCACTACTGTGTCAATAGCGCTATCGCTTTCACGACTTGCGCGAGAGCTCTCCTATTGGAAAACAGAATCCTAGGCTAAAAGGACCATGCTGCAATCTGAGTAAAACTCAGTTCATGGGTAAGCAAACTAAGGCCTGGGGGCAAGATCTGCTCCAAGCACCTTCTAAATCCGGTTCACGGACAGCCTGGGCATCAGCGTGTTTTTACATGAGTAGAATGTGTCCTTTTATTTAAAATGCATTTCTGGGTTCTTTCTGGGTTATTTGCCTGGTGTTTTCACATGAGTAGAATGTGTGCTTTTATTTAAAATGCATCTCTGGGTTATTTGTGGGGCATAGGAATTCGTTCTCCCCCCCCCCGCCAAATTTTTTTTTAAAAAAAATAGTCTGGCCCCCCACAAGGTCTGAGGGACAGTGGACCGGCCCCCTGCTGAAAAAGTTTGCTGACCCCTGGCTTAGTTGATTTCCACCCACTATTTCATATGTTTCAATCAATATAATTTGCCATTGCCGTTTCATTAATGATCGCTATACAGCAGCACCTCCTAAATGTGTGCATCGAAACTGATTCTTATCTACCATAAGTGCTTTAATTGGAAAAAAGTCCTACTTACACCTTGTTCCATTTCTGTCATGTAATCTTTTGTGTCATGTGATATGATTTGGTATCATATACTATTTTATTTTTTATTGGGACGCGGGTGGCGCTGTGGGTTAAACCACAGAGCCTAGGACTTGCCGATCAGAAGGTCGGCAGTTTGAATCCCCATGACGGGGTGAGCTCCCGTTGCTCGGTCCCTGCTCCTGCCAACCTAGCAGTTCGAAAGCAGGTCAAAGTGCAAATAGATAAATAGGTACCGCTCCGGCGGGAAGGTAAACGGCGTTTCTGTGCGCTGCTCTGGTTCGCCAGAAGTGGCTTAGTCATGCTGGCCACATGACCCGGAAGCTGTACGCCGGCTCCCTTGGCCAATAAAGCAAGATGAGCGCCGCAACCCCGGAGTCGGCCACGACTGGACCTAATGGTCAGGGGTCCCTTTACCTTTTACCTTTACAAGTCTTCTAGCCTGACATATATGCTTCCTGAAAGGTGAATCCCACTGAACTCAAGGAATCTTACTCCCAAGTAAACATAAGTAGGATTGTAGGCCTTATCTGGTGTTATTAATCCCAGATGCCTACGCAACTATGATAAAACAGAAACATTATTTCTACCGCTTAAAGTTAGCAGATAATTCTTTTCAGGCTGAAACTGCAGGCAGGCAGCTGAACCCGATAGATCTTCTCAGAAATCTATGCAAATGTGATCCTTCTATAGCTTGCATTTTGCCTTGTGCTGTGTGTTGATGTGAAGCTTTCCAGATTCTGTATTTGCAAAGGGGAAAAAAGCACCTTTTTAAAAAACCAAAACAACTACCATGCATCCTTGGTAAAGACAGTTGTTTCTGTTAGCTGTGAGCAACAGCAACTGAAAGTTGTGTGCCTCATTCTGGAAATTGCTCTTTGCTTTCAGAGACGTCGTCTCTGAGATTTTTAAATAAGTGAGCACATATTGATTGAACAAATAATTGGTTAAGAGCCAAACAGTCGTCTAGGATATTGATTTTTAAAATAAAAATAATAATAATACAGCCATAAAGAACAACTTTTCTGAACAATCATGAATCGAAAATACAAAAAACCCACTAACTCCTATTTGGTGATGATGATAATATATTAGTTCTGGGCAGTGCTATTTTTCTAGAAAAAGTGGTTCCAGGATTCACTATGAACACTTCCCTCGTTCGCTTAGAATGGAAATGGCGCCTACCTGAGAGATGCCAGAATGATATTGCTATTTGAGAAATCAGACTTGGGTACAGCCCATTCAGTTCTGTCTTCCTTGTCCTGTCCTGACTCAATTATATTTTTAGCTTTGGGTAACATTGCCAAGGCAAGTGCTGTGACACGATGAAGAAAAATGTTGCACAGTTAAGTTATGGAAACTATGCTCTGTCATCTTGTTGCAACAACAAGAGTAGCCAGACATGGAATACATAGCCCTTTTCGAATTTCTCTGCTACTTTTCTACACAGCTTCACTTTAGAAAGATTTTGAATGTAAATACTGGAAATAAAACTGATTTATATACAGTATGGGAGACAAACTATAATATCTGTAAACTGCTGTTTATGTGCGGCAGTGGAAGATATAGTGCATTATGTACTGTACTGTTCCTGCAGTCTAAACCACTGAGCCTCTTGGGCTTGCCAATTGGAAGGTCGGCAGTTTGAATCCCTGTGAAGGAGTGAGCTCCCATTGTTCTGTCCCAGCTCCTGCCAACCTAGCAGTTCGAAAGCACATCAGTGCAAGTACAGTGGTACCTTGGTTGTTGAACGGCTTGGCCCCTGAACAAATCGGCTCCCGGACGCCGCAAACCCGGAAGTAAGTGTTCCGGTTTGCAAAGGTTTTTTGGAAGCCGAACCTCCGACGCGGCTTCCAATTGAGTGCAGCCAATTGGAAGTTGTGCCTTGGTTTTTGAATGATTCTAGGAGATGAAAGGACTCCCGTAATGGATTAGGTTAGAGATCCAAGGTACGCTGTAGATAAATAGGTACCGCTGCAGCAGGAAGGTAAACGGCGTTTCTGTGCGCTCTGGTTTCCGTCACGGTGTTCCGTTGCACCAGAAGTGGTTTAGTCATGTTGGCCACATGACCCAGACAGCTGTCCGTGGGAAAATGCTGGCTCCCTCGGCCTGAAAACGAGATGAGCGCTGCAACCCCATAGCTGCCTTTAACTGAACTTAACCATCCAGGGATCCTTTACCTTTTACGTTTTACTGTTCCCAGGGATGGATTTCTCAAATGGATTCTTCAGAGAGTTTTCTTTCTTGAACTGTAGGGAGAAAACGTGTTACTTGCTGATAGATGGGGATAACTATACTACATAAAAGGTTCCTGTGTTTGCTTTGGTAGACAAAATTTCATTGCACAACATGGGGCCCCCTGTGACAATGCAAGGTGGCGCTGTGGGTTAAAGCACAGAGCCTAGGGCTTGCCAATCAGAAGGTCGGCAGTTTGAATCCCCACAACGGGGTGAGCTCCCGTTGCTCGGTCCCTGCTCCTGCCAACCTAGCAGTTCGAAAGCATCTCAAAGTGCAAGTAGATAAATAGGTACTGCTCCAGCGGGAAGGTAAACGGCATTTCTGTGCACTGCTCTGGTTCGCCAGAAGCGGCTTAGTCATGCTGGCCACATGACCTGGAAGCTGCACGCCGGCTCCCTCAGCCAATAAAGCGAGATGAGCGCTGCAACCACAGAGTTGTCCGCAGCTAGACCTAATGGTCAGGGGTCCCTTTACCTTTACCTCAACCTAACTAACCCCCTAGCTGATGACCAAAGTTTTAAAGCAAATAATTTAAACTGTCTAACTGATATATGGAAGGTAATTTGTATCAGGTTGTATCCAGCTCTGTTTGAAACTTCCTCTCCTCCCTCTGGCAGTCTCATGTGCCCCCCAATATCTGCTCTGAAGAGTTGTGGATCCTTTCGAGCAGATCTTGGGAAGGCTGCAGGAGACTGCAGGAGGAGGAAAGGAAGAAGACCCATTGCGTGAGTGGATTCAACACATAGTATTTAAGTACAGTCTCATGATTGCACAGTCACCTGAAGACAACTGATAAATAGCCCAATTTCTACATGCATATGTGGGCAAATGGTAAAACCTTATAGAAAAAAATTACAGTGGTACCTCGCAAGACGAATGCATCGCAAGACGAAAACTCGCAAGACGAAAGGGTTTTTGGTTTTTTGAGTTGCTTCGCAAGACGAATTTCCCTGTGGGCTTGCTTTGCAAGATGAAAATGTCTTGCAAGTTTGTTTCCTTTTTCTTAAAACTGTTAATACCCAGGGTGCATTGCTTGAAGAGGTGCAGTTGCACGCGGTGTGGTAGCCTTTCTTGAGGTTTTTGAAGACTTTGGTGATTTTTGAAGCTTTTCCAAAACTTCTTTTGAAACCGTGCTTCACAAGACGAAAAATTCGCAAGACGAAAAAACTCGCAGAACGAATTAATTTCGTCTTGCGAGGCACCACTGTATAGGAATTAATGAAGTTTAATTGGAGTGATATCTTATCCACGCCAAGGTGTCAGAGCAGACAGCAATATATTAACTATCCTACCTTATCTCTATCTTGCACTATTCCTGGTAGTTTGAATGAACACGATCAACCAATAAAATTGAATGAAAAGCTCTTACACCATTTAAAGAAGGCACGCTTTGATGAGCCACCAATGGAAAAGACTTCTAAAGTTGAGGACCTTCATGGTTCAGGATAATCTAAACAAATAATCTACGCAAAATAGGCATCAATGGCATGCCCCAAAGTAGAAAGGTTCTCCACATTTGAACCTGCCTACAGTCTTCAGTTTTAAAAGGCCTCATTACATGTCCTGCTACCATCACAGAGCACAATGTTCGTGGGCATCATCAAGGATTGGGTCTACTCAGTGCCAACCACATTATGGGCATGTCTAACTTTCATGACTCCCAACATTTGTTTGGTTGTTGTTTTTCCTTATGGAGGTTTTGTCTGTAGCCACAAATGAAGTTCAACAAGTAGCTGTGAAAAACAATTTGGCCAAAGTAATAAATTCCAGGGTGTGGCATGGCAAGGTGGGGTGCTTGTCATGCTTGTCCATTAAAACAATGGAATGACCTACAATGACTCTATATCTATCATCTATCATCTATCTATCTCTATCATCTAGTTTTTAAATATATTTTTAGAATTATTTCTATTTGCAGAATAGTTATAAACGAAGGAAACTAAAGGTCAATTTATGAAATGAAAATACAAATGTCTGCTTCCATTGAAGATAATATATACAGTGTGGATTGCTAGAATTCTCATATACTGTAAGATTTATGAGACATCGTCAGTCACATATGATTGGTTGAATGAGTATAGGTTGTCTTAGTTCAGTGCTATTAATACCAAAACCTGGTATTAAACTGTTTTTGATATCTACTTATTAAACTGAAACTGTCACCCGTGATACATAGGCCTACACTTTCTTTCCTTATCTCCTCCATTTTAGCTCTAGGAAAACAGGCTATAAAATAATTTGTCTAACAAGAAGAATTGATATCCCCCTTTTTACAATGTACAGAACGAATTTATTTCCGCGGCCACGGTCTTTAAAGTGTCTCCGAAAATAGATGTGTAATTAAGCAGCTAAATTATTGTGTTATGAACATTTTTGGGGGGCCACCATATGTCACAAAACTCTCAGCCCATTTATCACCAGCTGCTTCCATTAATTCAGCATTGCTTGCCCTTGGCTCAATGAGATTCTGTAGTTTTGCATTTTGAATTGAATAATATACAAAGAACTGAATGGCTATGGTGATAGGCAGACTTGACTTCCTCGTTTGATATATTTCCCCCCCCCCCCGGTTGTCCTGTTGGTGTTTTCAGTTTCATTTTAAAAACCACACACCAGTGTATTTCCCCCCGAAATAAACGAGCTTCACGAAATCTCCGTGGTTGGTTTTCGTTGTTGTAATTTTTTAAGGAGGAAGGATTCTGAATCCTTAAACTGGCCCTGTCCTAGGAATGCCCAAATGAGCTTTCTTTCTTGTGTCTGTTTCTACTTTGGTGAACTTGGTTGTTATCTAGCGAAAGCGTATAATTATCTAGAAGAATCTTGGCTACAGTTCAGCACACCATTTTATGAACCATTTCCATTCCCCAAGTAAACGAACTTATTAACCGCACACGTATACTGTATACTTATTAACCGTATACACGTATACTTAACGTTATTATATTCCAAGATCATCTGATAGGATTTGGCGTTCAAGTGTAATGAAAGACATATGGTGTCTTAGATCACTAAGGCACAGGAAGCCGCGTTAGAATAAATGATCAGCTTTGGTGATGAAGAAAATGAAAATGGGAGGCGGGGATGGGACTTCGTAAAATGGCCTTGTGTTGTAAGTATGTTTTTGAAATATCCTCTTTCTGTATCTTTCCTACCTTCCCCTGATAACCTCTAGTTTATCGTGGCTTCTGGTCTGTTCTCATGTTGCTGGGAGTGGTCACTGTGATCGTGGCGAGCTTCTTCATCATCTGCGCTGCACCCTTTGGTAGCCACGCGTTGTACAAAGTTGGGGGAGGCTTTTTCATCACTGCTGGTAAGTGTTTAGAATTGTGGGTTTGGTTTTCTTTAAAAACAAAACAGAACAAAACAAAAATGCACATCAAGGGAATTCTGCGTGCTATTTTGGAGGTTTTCTGGCAGAAGGCTCGCAGAAGAAAATGGCCACTGGGGAAGAATTGGAAGAGTTCGTGTTGCATCTATGGTTCATTTCAATAGGTCTAGACCAGACATAGGCAAACTCCAGCCCTCCAGATGTTTGGGACTACAATTCCCATCAACCCTAGCTAACAGGACCAGTGGTCAGGGATGATGGGAATTGTAGTCCCAAGCATCTGAAGGCCCGAAGTTGGCCTTTGCCTGGTCTAGGGCTAATAATAATAATAATAATAATAATAATAATAATAATAATGGAATCATAGGATAATAGAATTGTAGAGCTGGAAGGGTCATCTAGTCCAATCTCCTACAATGCACAATAATTTTATGTAATTATATAATATATGTGTAATCATACTAATAATTTATATAATGCAAGAAGGGCACACAAGATATTATTAAGTGGTAATAAAGTAGGATGATCCTAGGATTGATCTAGCGTTCTGAATCTGTCTTCCAACACTGCATAAGACATTCATTCCTTCGTGGTTGGAAGGATTATAATATCAAGAAAAGGAAACAGTGTCAAGGCCACACTGTCATGGAATCACAAAATTGTACAGTTGGTAGCGACCATGAGGGCCATCTAGTCGAACGACCTGCAATGCAGGAATCTCTTTTTGCCCAGCGTGGGGCTCAAACCCACAACCCCGAGAGTAAGAGTCTCACGGTCTAAATCTGGGAAAGCTTCTTCATGTAGTTTTCTTGGTGGTCTGTGTGCTTTGCCTGTGAGGACCAGTACGTCAAGAGAATGCTTGGCTTGGGTCTAGAACACCTGAACTGAAATACCTACTTGCCCAAGAAAGCTTACTGCTATTGTCTCTAACCTCTGCTTCTTTAATCAATAAAGTAATAATAGACAATATAAAGCACTTTGTGGACTAAGTATTGGAGGAAATGTGTGGGGAATTCTGTTTGCATTGTGGCTCTGCTTTTGCAAGATGTGCTTTTGCAGTTTGTGACCAGTGTCTTTTTTTGCACATAATCCAAGAATTCATGCCCAATGCTGGCAGCAATAGTTCTCCATCAGTGTAGCAGTTTGGTACTGTTCAGAATCTCCTGCTTTTCAGTTCCTGTTGGTATGTATTATTTCAAAGTTTTTGGGGGATGGATGGGAGACCACAGGTTTATGGGCCAAATGTTCCCCTCCAGGACTCCTTATCCGGCCCTTCAGCCCAGGCAATACTCCCTTCATAGGCCACACCCCCTTTCCCCAGCCCCTCCTTGCCAGCCCTGGTCCATGCCCACCCTGACTGCTTTTGCCTGACTAGAACGTGTCCTTGAGCTGTGGCAGCGCCTCTTGCTTGTCTATGTTGAGAGATTTGTATGTGGAAACCTCTGACATTGGCATGGCTGCAACGTGGCCTACAGTACAAAAGTAGGAATCACAGCTGTCTCCCTGCCCTATGGCACCAGCCAACACTGGTATGTGACCCATACCCTTCAACATTTTGAGTTCCAAAAACATGACACACGTCTTCTTGCCCATGCTCCTGTGTGAGTCACATGATCTGAGCACGGATCCAAAAGACACTTTTTTTTCTGGGACGCGCTTGCATGGCACCCAAAAACGTGTTTTTGCAGGGGCATCACGCAAGATCATAGTGTTTTTTTGGAGCAAAATCTTGGTGCAAAATCGCACAAGATCAAAATGGCTGCCATGCTCTATTGTAATAAAATGGGATGTCCTGTTTTTTTCTGGAATGCTTATGGGGTATTGTGCACCCCCCCGATTACTCATGAGGAGATGTGGCCCTCAGACTAAAAAAAACTTTCCCCTCCCTGATTGAGAGGTACTCATTTAACCTCTGTTGTCTAGACCGTATTCAAATCTAGAGGGCCACATGCAAAGCCCTCAAGCCAGAATAATTGTCAAGAAATTATTCTCTCTGCTCCCAACCATGACGACTGATTGTATGGGGGCGAATCCATTTACTCTCAGGGAGCTTCTGGTTTACAATTTGAATGCAGCAAGGTTTGTAATTGAAACATTTCCTCTGAGATCCTATAGCCACTTAACCTGAGATTAAGCCCCATGACATTTACTGGAATTTACTTTCTGAGTTGGATAGTGTTCTCGAAGCTACCAGCATGAGTTTGACCAAACTGCGGGAGGCAGTGGAAGACAGAAGTGCCTGGCGGGCTCTGGTCCATGGGGTCACGAAGAGTCAGACATGACTAAACGACTAAACAACAACAACAACATTCTGAGTTTACCTGTACAGAAGTGCGCTGCGGGTCTCATGTATGGGTTGCAAACCACCAATACCCTAATGCCAAGCACAAACTGGAATTTGCTCCCACAAGAGGTGATGACGGCCACCAACTTGGATGTCTTTGCAAGAGGGTTGGACGAGCTGATGGACAACAAAGCTATACATGGCTACTATCCATGACAGCTGTGTTTTACACCAACTGTTGGAGGTACTTTGCCTCTGAATACCGGTTGCTGAGAATCAGAGATGGAGACAATGCTGTTCTGCTCAGATCCTTCCTTCAGGCTTCCCGTGGACATCTGGTTGGCCACTGTGCGAACAGGATGCTACTGGCCTCATCCTGCAGGGCTTTTCTTGTGTTCAAAGTAGAGACTCGAGTTGGCAGCAAAGGATCTTCAACAGTGCAAGTCTTCTGCAAAGGTAAAGGTAAAGGGACCCCTGACCATTAGGTTCAGTCGCAGACAACTCTGGGGTTGCGGCACTCAGCTCGGTTTACTGGCCGAGGGAGCTGGCGTACAGCTTCCGGGTCATGTGGCCAGCATGACTAAGCCACTTCTGGCAAACCAGAGCAGTGCACAGAAACACCGTTTACCTTCCTGCCAGAATGGTACCTAATTATCTACTTGCACTTTGACGTGCTTTCGAACTGCTAGGTTGGCAGGAGCAGGGACTGCGCAACGGGAGCTCACCCCGTCACGGGGATTTGAACCGCCTACCTTCTGATCGGCAAGCCCTAGGCTCTGTGGTTTAACCCACAGTGCCACCCGCACCCCCAAGTCTTCTGAGGTCAGTGCAAAAATGCCTGCTTCGGTTTCTGTTCTTTGCCTACTGTTCCCTAGGTCTGTTCAGCCACTTGTTTGTGGAACACTTTGGTTCCTTCTATTCGTCTCTATCATTACAGAGACAGCTGTGCGGATGGGTTTTTTTTCTTCTTCTCCTTTTGCTACTAAGCTCATGCTAAATTACACCCTCAGATTTTCTGCCAGCCTCTCACTGCAGTAACTTGGATCTTACGAAAAGTCTCAGCAGCGGAACTTCTCGGTTATTGACTCGCGTAGAGAAAGTATCAATACGTAGCCCGACGACACCCGCAGTGGGAGCAAAGTCTGCGAGGTAAACCTGTGAGCAAAACAATTGCTTACAAATCAGCATAGTTCTACTTTACCAGCGGCACCCGCCTGAGGCTCCTGTCACTCTCTACAGCACCTGTTGACTTCTTGTCTGTGCAATGGAAGCTTTGTGCCATAAGCAGCCATTCACGGCTGACGAGCGAAAGACATTTTGCTGTGCAGGAAGAATAAGGAAGGCCTGAAAATTGCTCTTGAATTCCTAGGCATTTATAAAGATTCTGTGTTCTTTTTCTCTTCCTGCAATGAGCAGAAGTGTGTGTGTGTGTGTGTGTGTGTGTGTGTGTGTGTGTGTATGAAACAGATTAAAAAGAAAAAATGTTAATGGCAGAAATGACTGACCTCCGAGGAGCCTGGGTCTTATCTCATTCCACAGTGCTGTGTATCAAACATGGGCCTCCTTTAAAAATAAAATAGGAAAATAGAAAAGGCATGGGGAGAGGGGGAAAAAAGAATGAAAGTGCTTATTTATCCTAATCTCTTTGAGACATATATTTTACTTTTTAAAAATAATTGCCCCCAGTCGCTTGTGATTCACTGCAGCTTTTTTCTTTTTCTTTTTTTAAAAAAATCCTGTTTGACTAAACAACAGATATTTGTGCCCCAAGCAAAGGTCTAACAAGCTGAAAACGAAGAAATATGTTTGCAGCCTGAAATGTTTCTAAAAATGCCTGCTTCTTGAAGTTGATGGCAGGGATGAGGTTAATCTCAGCCACTGGGCTCGAAAACACGGCCCTTCCTGACAATTGTCAGCATAAGAGGCTGAGAACAGCCTTCCCAAAATAAATACATTTCGTTTGACACGTCCCGCTTCGTAATGAACTGACATTGCAATTAGACTTGCAGTAGATCCTCTCCTGCCTTTCAAAGCATGATAAATGTTCTGAAAGAAGAAAGGCAAGAAAGAGAGGCAGGCAAACAGAGATAGCTTAAGGTTACAGGAAGTGGCTTCAGCAAGTTATGATGTGACTGAATGTTAGTTCCTAAATAGGAGTTTTACAAAGATGACTCTGGATGCATGTCTGGTGGGATAGGACCCTGTCGCACATGCGTTTGCTCTGTATGGCACTTCATCTGAACTCTGCTGATGTCCATATTGGTCCCTATTCACCACATTTTTTCCAGCTTTCAATGCTATTGAGGACACACCGATATCAAGCTGATTGTGGGGTGCAGTTTGACAGTGACTTATTGCAAACCTGCATGTGTGCGGGTTCCCAGAGAGATGATCGCGGCTGCCGTTCTCCTTTTTTGGCCCTTTTGCTGCTGTGCTGCCATGAGCTGAGCGATGGTTTGGCTTCGTGCGGCCTCTGAGCATGGGTGTCACACAAACCACAAGCTGTGAGGAAGTTTTGTTCTTGGGTTTGCAGCTCATGGTTTGTCTGGCGGAGACAAACCATAGCTGTCAAGCGTCCCTTATTTGGCGGGACAGTCCCTTATCCCAGGGCCATGTCCCGCTGCTGTCCCTTATTGATGATGTCCCTTAAATAAGCTACCGAAGGTAATGGGCCCTTTCTATGTCCAGCTGTGCTTTGTCAACAACAAATTGTTGCTGTTTTTTGTGTTGAATATATGCTATATGGTAATTTATAGGACCTAATAGGTATCTAAAGCCATTTGCACGCAACAAAATATGTATTTTATCAAAGTAATTGTTGATCCCTTATTTTGGCTGCTGATCCCTTATTTTCGAGGCTGCTGGTCCCTTATTTTCAAATCTGTAAGTTGACAGCTATGAGACAAACCATTTGTGCTAAGGCTTGGTTTGGCTTAGTGTTAGGGGAAAACTCGAACGTTGTCCTTCACTGGATATACCAAGCATTTCTCAAGCAAACTGAGCCATCATATATCTTTACTAAAACTTATTTTTTCCCTCCTTCCTTCAGGTATTGTCTTCACATTGGTGGTAATCCTTTACGTCATCTGGGTCCAGGCAATGGCTGATCTTGAAAACTATGTGAATATGAAGAAAATAGACTGTCCTGATTTTTCTGTCTATGTGCGTTATGGCTGGTCTTTTATACTGGCTCTAGTTGGAATTTTTTTTACCATGTTTTCAGGAATGCTGTTCCTACTGGTAGGGCGTACAATTTATCTGCACTCCGATTAATCAGATGTCGGCTGTTTGAAATGTTGGAATTATGGCGAGGTTTTGCTGAAAAGCTATTTTTATACATTATCCCTCTTATAGCTGTGTGTTTGCTGGTGCTATTCTAGATCTGCTTACGTAGCTAATGCAATCCCATGCATATCTACTCAGATGTAAGTCCTACTGAGTTCAGCGAAGCTTATATCCAGGTATGTCCTTATAGGATTTGCGGTCTCAGTTATATATCCTTGTCATAAAGGAATAGTGACATAAATTAGACTGTTCAAATTCCTTCAGATCTTGATAAACTGTATGCAACACATGAGATATTTTGCAACTTCATGTCTCTGTGTTGAACGCACTGGGGGACAGATAAAAATATGAAATGATTCATGAAAGAATTTTGGCTTAGGGCCAATTCAACCATTATCTTCTTAATGAAGGAATATGCAATGAAACCACACCTCCTGCTCATATATATTAGCCACAGAAGAAGGGAATGGGCAGCACAGGCTGTAGATCACCCTTCCAGTAGTCGCCTAGCATTCACCTTGTGCCAATGTGCCATTCTTTTAGCAAGGCCAGAACTCTTGCCTCTTGCTTGCCACAAATCTAGTCTCAAGTGACAGTGCTTGGCTCATCTTAACAATGGCTACCTTCCCTTGATGTACGATTGTATTTCTCCATGCTCAGAGTCTCCTTCCATGGGGAAGGTTTGTGTGCTTCGAGAGGAATTGTCACAGTCACTAAGTGAGGTGCAAGTGCTAACACTGGCTAGGTTTGCGATGAGCGCAGGATCTGGTCGTGGCAAAGCAACAGGAAAGTGAATGCTGTAACTCCCATCTGCAAGCAACTGCGATGCTTCCTGGAAGAATGAAACCTATTCCCATCTCCCTGTGGATAACCTAAGCAAAAATAAACCCGGTCATGTGTGTTCCCTCATTAGGAAAGGAAATGTGTGAATTAGTCCTGGTTCTGCTTATGCAGAAGAAAGCAAGTGTCCACAGAATCCCTTAATCACCCGTTATTTCTTCTTCCGGTACTTGGCATTAGCTTTAATATGAACAAATATTTCTGCAGTTGCCCATGTATTGCTTTAGCCAATGTGGCAGTAGTGCAGAAGGCCAGGTCGCTGAATTAGTGCTGTGGTGTTGCTATGAATATGGAACTGTTTGTATGCTTTCATGTGGTCCAAGTCATAAACATTCAGTGTAATGGAACTGGGAAGTTTATGGATCATTTAGTTCAGTTCCTGCAATAGCAGATTCCCCTTTCCCCCCTGGGCTTAACAACAATACATGCTTTTCTGTTGTCCGTTATATATTTTTTATTATTTCTGCTTCCCTCTGTACTTTACGGCTTGACTTGTTTGGCCAAGTCATCTTGACTGGTGTTCATCAGTCACCTTCTTGCAGCCAGCCTGCTTTCTTCTTTTGACATACAAGGAAATCTGGGAACCATGCAACGGATGTGTGAAATCTCACAATGTGAAAAGGGTATCTGAAACCTGCTGACAATGTGAGAAGGTTGCCACTCCCACCACACATGGATGCCTGGACCTCTGAAGAAGCAGGAAGTGTGGTAATGTGTGTCCTTCCAAATTAGCTGGAGACTGTCAATAACTCTGCCCCTTTCCCTTAATATCTATAGGACGCTGATGGAGAAACGGCCTGGCCTTTCAGCCAAGCCTGGTGTTGGCACCTGGAATCTTTGGGTAGCTGTCAGGGCCCAATTGCCTGCCCTGCACCCCCATTTTTTCCCCATCTGACACTCTAGCCACCTTTTTAATTTCCCATGATGCTTCTGGTGTAGCACTCTTCTGGGGCATTGAGAGAAATTTAAAGGCTGACCAGGCCTTGTTGTTTGGTGCTGTTGGAGGGCTGCCATCACAAGCCCACCAGGGCCCACTGACAGGGAAGGCGGCCCACCAGAAGCTACTTTGGCCAAAGAGGCGTCATGCTTTCTGTGTTGAGTGCAACTACATGGCCCTGTGTACCTGAAGGAGCATCTTCACCCCCATCGTTCAGCCCAGACACTGAGGTCTAGCTCCAGGGGCCTTCTGGTGGTTCCCTCATTGAGTGAAGTGAGGTTACAGGGAACCAGGCAGAGGGCCTTCTCAGTAGTGGCACCCACCCTGTGGAACGCCCTCCCATCAGATGTCAAGATGATACAACCTTTAGAAGACATCTGAAGGCAGCCCTGTATACGGATGACTTTTAATGTGTAATGTTTTATTATGTTTTTATATATGTTGGAAGCCGCCCAAAGTGGCTGGGGCAACCCAGTCAGATAGGCGGGGTACAAATAATAAAATTATTATTAATATTATTGTTATTGTTATTATTATTATTATTTGTTCCCTTCAAATTCTTGTGATTCTGTAGTTATCCCATTTCTTATTAAAACCATCCAACCAGACAAAGACCTTCCATAAGTTTACTAAGCAACTTGCTCTATAGGCTGCACTTCTGCGTACTTATATATTTAGAAAACTGATAACCCACTTGATCAAAAAAAATCTCCTGGCAGTATGCAAATAAAATGTATGATGATGTACAATACGACTTACTTATAAACAAATTTGTGGAAGTCCTGTTACCCAGTCCAGGAATTCCATGCAGCTCCATTTCTCAGTCTCCCAAGCGCTTATTCCCTTTGAAGTGACTGGGGAATCTCCATGTCCAGAAGTTCTATTTGTGTCTATCAGAGCCTGAGAGAGAGAGAGAGCGAGCCTCAGATCCTCATCAGCTTTATATTTATTGCATGATCTGTCCCAGGAGGATGGGATTAACAATTCACAAGTGTGCCAAATCCACATCCTTAAAAACCGGGCAGATTTTTCAAAGATAGACTCCTTCTTTCAGCAATACATGATGACTGGATAACTTTAAACACACACACACACACACATTATATATATATATATATATATATATATATATATATATATATATATAATGTCGTGTTTTTATGTAAAAATGGCTTGATATCTAAGGCTGGTCAAGTTGTTGCAACCTATGAGGCAAAAGATCCCACAAGTGTGTCTCTTCTTTCATTGCAGTAAAATATAATAACAGTAACAGTAACAGTAACAGTAACAATACTACTACAATATTGAGCAATCTGGTACCTTCTCATGGCACCCCAAATCAGCTGCCCCTATGTACACTGAGCGAGTGAGTGACCATCACCACCTTATGAAGCCAAACTCTGTCCCCCACAGCTGTCTCTGGGCATTGCCAGTGCTGGAAAATTGCACAAGACAATGCAGGATACCAACCGCCAGCTGGAAACATAGGTGCCGACTCCTAGCGACCAAGGTAGTTTCAGCCCCCTGAATTTTATTTTTAGGGGACTGGGCCCCCTCAATATTCAGAGGATGTTGTGCGACGTCATGTGCGTGATGCTGGTTCTGGTTAAAATTGAGCTGATCTAAAAACGTGATAAAGTTACACAGTCCGCATGATATTATGCTGGTTTTGCAGTGAACTCTGCTTTGTTCCACAGCTGTTCTGAATAGTGAAGTCAACAAAACAGCGACCACCTAAGAGTTGCGGTAAGCTAGCTGGGATCTCTCTCCCAACCGAGCACATTCTGCAATTGGGAAATATCCAGAACTTTCCCCCGCTATTTATTCCATTTTCAAGATTAGCCCCTTTTGCTTTAGAACGCGGCTTGGAGGTGGTAATCGGAAAGTCATGAAAATAATTTCGCAGAGGCCTAACATGATTTTGCAATTATTCTGCTAACTCGGTGCAGCGCATGGCCATATAATATATCAAGGCTATTTGATAACTTGGTTATTCTTCATGCATCTGTTTCCAGCCACTTGCAGGCTTCCTATAGGCATCTATTGAGCCATTGCAAGAACAAGGATGCTGGACTAGAAGGGCATTGGCCAGATCCGGCAGGCTCTTCCTATCTTCTTAGCTTCAACAAAGTGGCAGGATCAGACTATGCCCTTGTTGCTAATTGGCTGGCGCCCATATTGTTTGTGAGCCATTATCTACTTAGCGCAAGTACTTGCGCCTAATACTGCCTCTCTCTCCCAGTGGAAATAAGCCCTCTTAAATAGTTACGGATTTATTGATTCATAAGAAAGTCACTGACACCTTGTAGACAATTTCAAAAGTATTTCCCTTGGTTCATTAACTTCTAGGTGCTCTCCTGGAGTTCTTGCTGAGTCTTTCATTAGATTCCTGGTAATTTATTGAGGCGTAAGTGAAAAAGGTAAGGGACTCATCTCATTTAACAGGGGAGAAAGCTGGAAAGTTATTGTTTCTCGGACTAACTTCATCAGGGTGTCTGTTAATTGTGGACCCCCCCCCCAAATGCCCCAGGTTATGCTACTCAACTGTTAACAGAAGGACTCCTAGTAGAGCAGCAATAAATCTGTTAGCACATTTGGCAAAGCTAAGCAGGGTCTGGTATGGTTTCACATTGGAAGGGAGACCACATGTTGAGATCTCTGAGTGGACTAGGTGACCCCTGGAGTCTCTTCCAACTATGACTCCAATGATATCAGTAATGTTTTTACGCCACACAGATGCCTTGCTTTAATTTTTTTAACTAAAGTGAAAGAATAGCATCTAGAATTCCCCTCTTCTGGTTTTGCTTGAGTAAAAAATGCAAGTATTTCTAGTATTCTACTAATAAAGTCAACATACCTCCCCCCTTTTACTGACCCCAACACATCTTGCTTACAGACTTTGAAAGCACTCAAAAGTGCAGAGAGATGAGGGTCAAAATAAGTCAAATGAAAAGTCCTTCCACATTCCCATTCATTGGTAAGACACAGCTGTGTGACAGTAAGGTCCCCCATCATCACTGAGGCTGCCTCTCTCCTCATTTCCAGTTCCAGCTACAATCTAATGTACTGTAACTGTTCTCTAAAGTACAAGAGCTCCAGTCCCAAATACAAGCAGTTGGCATTGCTCCTAATGGGAATGCCCTGTGTATTTTGTTACTGGTTAAGCATGGCATGAAGCACTGAAACAGATGTCCCATAGTCCATCAGATTGCAGTGGGACAGCTTGAGCAGGAAAGAGTTGGTTATAGTATTGCGAAACACTTAATCTCAAATCACTTACAGATTAAACCTACTTGGACGTAAATCCCATTTAGTTCCAGAATCCATAGGATTGCAGCTTTAAATCTTTTCTGTGGTCCAGTTCTTAGATACACCACTACAGAATTGTAGCTACTTCTGGGACCCTATGCAGATCCTCCAAGTGTCCCTATTTTTTAGGAACAGTCCCAGATTTACAGAAGCCATCCTGGTTTCTGATTTGATCCCGGAATGTCCTGCTTTTCCTTAGGATGTCCCTATTTTAATTGCGGGATGTGGGTGGTGCTGTGGGTTAAACCACACAGCCTAGGACTTGCCGATCAGAAGGTCGGCGGTTTGAATCCCCGCAATGGGGTGAGCTCCCGTTGCTTGGTCCCAGCTCCTGCCAACCCAGCAGTTTGAAAGCACGTCAAAGTGCAAGTAGATAAATAGGTACCACTCCGGTGGGAAGGTAAACAACGTTTCTGTGCGCTGCTCTGGTTCGCCAGAAGCGGCTTAGTCATGCTGGCCACCTGACCCGGAAGCTGTACGCCAGCTCCCTTGGCCAATAAAGCGAGATGAGCGTCGCAACCCCAGAGTCGGCCACAACCTATTTTCATTGCAGAAATGTTATTTCCTGGACTACGCAAATCAGGTAGCTGAAATGGTTTTCTTTGAAGGCAGGCAACAGCAGACTGGCTCTCCTGGAGCATAGGAACTTGCATTATATAAAGTCAGACATAATTTGTCCATTTAGTCCAATGTAAAAAGTAAAGGTAAAGGACCCCTGGACTGTTAAGTCCAGTCAAAGGCGACTATGGGGTTGCAGCGCTCATCTCGCTTTCAGGCCCAGGGAGCCGGCGTTTGTCTGCAGACAGTTTTCTAGGTCATGTGGCCAGTGTGACTAAACCGCTTCTGGCACAACGGAACACAGTGATGGAAACCAGAGTGCACGGAAACGCCGTTTACCTTCCCGCCACAGCAGTACCTGTTTATCTACTTGCACTGGTGTGCTTTCGAACTGCTAGGTTGGCAGGAGCTGGGACAGAGCAATGGGAGCTCATCCCGTCGCAGGGATTCAAACCACCAATCTGATCAGCAAGCCCAAGAGGCTCAGTGGTTTAGACCACAGCACCGCCCGCATCCCTGTCTGGACAGGCACACTCAAACATCCTACAGGACCCTTTTAGCTGGAGATGTTAGGGACTGAACCTAGGAACTTTCTGTACGGAGTGTGCATGTTCTATCCCTGTGCTGTGCAAGGCTTTGTCCGACAGGTGGGAACTGAAGCCCAGCCCTGAGAAAAGAACAATTTGCCTGAATTAAATGGCCAGCTCTTGAGGGAGACTGAAAAAGTACAGGAGCGCGAAACTTAGGGGAGTTGCATGGAAAAACATTCCTTTTCTGCACCAGCGTGGCTTGATGTTATGTGGCTCTGCTTTGAAAGAGATCATTCGCACTGCAACACATTTAATGGTGCCAGTCACCACATGGTATATTTGGCAGCTATTTTAAGCTCAGATCACATTACCCCATTGCAGCAGTTGGCACCGGCTTCCCCAACTAGCATGCGACTGATCTAAACAGAAATCATCTTACACATTTTTGTTCTCTGAAATTAAATTTGACGGCATGAGCCCTATGATCCTCTCCCCCCCCCTTTCCTTTTCTTTTTGGTATGTTATTACTTTTTGGAACAGTGTTTTGCTAGCACCACAGGGGAAATTCCACAAGGTTGTCAGTCAGATATAGTGAATTATCAGATACATTAGCTTTTCCTCCCTCTTACATTTGCTTAAGAGCTTATAGACCGCAGAGAATAAAAAAAAGAAGAAGAAGTGCTAAACAGAATGAAATGAACTGTCAAGGGTATTTGTGAATGACTTAGAACATTCTGCCAGCTTCCAAACACACAGGCCTGTATCTCTTAGTTCATATAATAAACATGGGTGGAGATCTTTGGGTGGTTAGTTATACAGTGGTACCTCTGGTTAAGTACTTATTTCGTTCCGGAGGTCCGTTCTTAACCTGAAA